TTGAATTACATGATTATTTACTTGTCTATTTGATTTTTATTTGTTTCAATCATTGACAATTGATCAAATTGAAAAGATAATTGAAATCAATTGAATTGGTGATTAATTAGCGTTTTCTCTGATTTTTTTTGTTCCTTCTCTCTGATTAGATTTTATCAAAAGATTCTGTAACTGTGGCTGTCGATGCTGTTGTTTATTTCCGGATCAGCAATGCGATCGCCTCAGTTTCCAATGTTGAAGATTACGCGAGATCAACACGACTTTTGGCCGCAACAACGCTGAGAAATGTTCTGGGTACTAAAAATTTATCAGAAATTTTATCCGAACGAGAATCAATTAGTCACATGATACAATCGAGTTTGGATGAAGCAACTGATTCATGGGGAGTTAAAGTGGAAAGAGTTGAAATGTAATTATTGATCTGATTTCGAAAAAAAAAATATCCAATCGAATTTCAATTTCGATTCAATTTGAGATTTTAAAATGGAATTTTCTCTTTTTTCTTAAACAGTAAGGATGTTCGTTTACCTGTTCAACTGCAACGTGCTATGGCCGCTGAGGCTGAAGCTGCACGAGAAGCTCGTGCCAAAGTGATTGCTGCTGAAGGTGAACAACGAGCATCTCGAGCATTAAAAGAAGCTGCTGAAGTAATTGCCGATTCTCCTGCAGCATTACAATTGCGATATCTGCAAACTCTTAATTCAATAGCAGCGGAAAAAAATTCAACCATCGTTTTCCCCGTTCCTATGGAGCTGTTCAGAGGGTTCGTGGTTGACACCGATCATAAGCATAGTTCCCATCGGCATCATTCCAATCAGGAGACAATTGATTTTGGTTCAAACGATGATGAGATTCTTGAAGGACGAGGATTGGAAAGTGAATGACAACTAAGGTTGGCCTCGAATAGATTAAATCATCGTCATAATCAATCAACTAATCAACCAGAATTCAATATGGGTCATGCATTAAGAAGATTCTCTCTGGCCCTTCCGATTTTTCAACCTCGTCGACTTGTACCAACAACATTTTCGACTAAACTAAACAATTAATATACACAAATCGCCATCAATCAATTAATTTTAAGAAAATCATCTTAATCAAAACGCATTTACAAAAAGAAAATCATTTCTATTACAATTACCAAGACTCTTCTCGTTGATTGTTTGATCGATTAACATTCCCCCCAAAGGTTAATGGTGGACAATTGATTTTTTTGTTGTCACTGTTGTTTGTTTGATCTTAAGTGATAATTAATCACAGGGCCAATAATAAATTGATTCCAATTATGTAAATATTTATTACCGTTTATTGCAAGAATGAAAAATCTTTGCGATTTCAATCAAGTTTTTTTTTCTGTTTTTAAATCACAATTTACAGTTATAACAACAGAATCATGTCCATAATTATAAATTAACGAAAAAAAAATCTTCCGAGGCCAACAAATAATTCACAAAAAAAGAATGACAAGAAAACTTAATCCAGTTTGGGGAGAAATCTCAAAATTAATTGCAATCAATGAGATTGATCATCAACTACATTGAGATCTTCGTATGATGATAATCAAAACAAATTACATTTCAAATAGCACAAAACAATTAATTCCGTTGAAATGAAAATCTTTTTTTCTTCTTTAAATTACCTTTACCTTTTCAATCACTTTCTCAATTGTTAGATAATTGAAATGAATCAAAATTATAAAAAATCTCAATTGTTGAACACAACTCAAGGTATTTGAATGTATAATCTGAATTAAAGAAACAATTTATACACAATTTCTTGAACGTTTATGGAAACGAATTGTTTTTCGCTTAAAATTTCAGAACTTTGATTGTTCGCTGGATAATTAACTGTTCAGAATGAATGAGATTCCATAAATAAATTGAGACTTAGAGTTTTTTCCAAAGTGAAACTGTTGAAAAATAGAAGAACATTAGATTAATTGGGATGGATTGTCGATGGAAAGGTAATTACATGAAACAATCGTCAGGAACTGAAGAGAAATACATTTTCTTTTCTTTGATTCTTTATTTCTTTTCTTTATCTTTTCATTGAATGTCCTTCTTAATTTTGTCTAATACATTATCATTATGAGACACATCAAATATGTATAGACAGAGAAAGAAAGAAAGAGAAAAAGCGAGAGAGAGAGATAGAGGGAGAAAAGGAAGAGAGATAAAGAAAGAAAAAGAGGAAGAGGGAAAGAAGAGAAAAGAAGAATTTGTCTATCTGAGATAGATGATTGATTAATTGGTGAAGAAAATACTATCCAGATTTAAAAAGCAATATGGCAACTTGACCCAGGTAAAAGTAAATGAAATGTTTAGTTTCATGGGTTACATATGAACCAAAATTACGACCCACAATACAATGCCAGGTTGGGTTGTATTTCTTGTCAAACTCCTTCTTTATAAAAGCAGCAATATCCTTCTCAATATTATACTTGTCCAATGCTTGGATTGATGTATTGATAGCATCATCTTGCATCTCGTCACTCATGTCGGCATTTTTAACCACAGCTTTCTTATCCGTACTCATCTATAAATAAATAATGATAATATTACAACAAAATAGAAAAATAATCAAATCATCAATAAACAATCAACAAAACAATTCAAATAAACAATCACTTCAAATACAATTCATAAAAAAGAGAAGCAATAAATATTAATAGTATAAATACAAATAGAGAGATTAAAAAAAAGAGTGAAAAAAAATTCTATTTAACAAAAAACCGAAACCAAGAGACAGACACAAAAAAGTAAGAAACAAAGAAAGAGCAAGTCAAGGGAAAAGAAAGACAATTGGCAAAGAAAAAGTAATACTCACATTGAACTAATTTTATTTACCGATGACACCACAAAAATGTGACAAATAAATATCACTTTTTTAAACAGTTCTATGGATAGAAAACAATTGATAAAATAAAATTATTACCAACAATTAATTGTCAAAATTTATAAATCAAATACATGAGGTGAAAAAAAAACAAGAAACTACATTGACAATACAGAGAAAGAGAGAGGGCGTTGTGATGTTAATCTCCAATCGGAACTTGTTCCGGATTGAGTTAGAAAAGCGCATGTCACCAATTCTGTTTAACTTTTTCTAAAAAACCATTCGAATCATTTAAATGGTTAAAACAACAATTAAAAAGAATAATCAAATTAATTAATTATCCTCACAATTAAAAAGGATAGAAAAAATTAGAGAAAAATGTGAACACAAATTACTTGCCTTTGGATTTGAATGTTACCCTTAAAGAAAGAAAGTCGAAACTACCGCTCAGTCTTTGCTTTCTCCTCTTTTGATTGGATGAAAAAAAGGTTCATCTTTATGATAGAAACTCTTGTATCCATGGTAACCGATGGAAACTCCACCAAGTAGTCGACTTGTTAATTACAATTCACTCCACTCCTTCAATAAATATTCAATTCAAATCTGTTGTTATTTTTTTCTGTCTCTTCTTGATTCTTGTTTTTTTCACCTCATGTATTTGATTTATAAATTTTGACAATTAATTGTTGGTAATAATTTTATTTTATCAATTGTTTTCTATCCATAGAACTGTTTAAAAAAGTGATATTTATTTGTCACATTTTTGTGGTGTCATCGGTAAATAAAATTAGTTCAATGTGAGTATTACTTTTTCTTTGCCAATTGTCTTTCTTTTCCCTTGACTTGCTCTTTCTTTGTTTCTTACTTTTTTGTGTCTGTCTCTTGGTTTCGGTTTTTTGTTAAATAGAATTTTTTTTCACTCTTTTTTTAATCTCTCTATTTGTATTTATACTATTAATATTTATTGCTTCTCTTTTTTATGAATTGTATTTGAAGTGATTGTTTATTTGAATTGTTTTGTTGATTATTTATTGATGATTTGATTATTTTTCTATTTTGTTGTAATATTATTATCATTATTTATTTATAGATGAGTACGGATAAGAAAGCTGTGGTTAAAAATGCCGACATGAGTGACGAGATGCAAGATGATGCTATCAATACATCAATCCAAGCATTGGACAAGTATAATATTGAGAAGGATATTGCTGCTTTTATAAAGAAGGAGTTTGACAAGAAATACAACCCAACCTGGCATTGTATTGTGGGTCGTAATTTTGGTTCATATGTAACCCATGAAACTAAACATTTCATTTACTTTTACCTGGGTCAAGTTGCCATATTGCTTTTTAAATCTGGATAGTATTTTCTTCACCAATTAATCAATCATCTATCTCAGATAGACAAATTCTTTTTCTTCTCTGCTGATATTATTTCTCCATCTATTTCTTATTTTTGTTCAATTTCTTCTACTGTTTCCCTCTCTCTCTCTTGAAAATGAATTTTTGTCTTGGAAATCATGGCAATACTAATCATTATCAGGCTACAAAAATACACTGCAAACTTCAAAGCAACCAGAGATCAACAATTCACAAATTTACTCTACTTCTATAAATTATACCAACACAGCCACACAATTCCAATAATTCCAACATAAATATTCTCGTTCTTTGCTATTATTTATTCATGATGATAATGATGGATAATCAAAGTTTATCTCTAACATATTTGTCTCAAATATAAACAAAAAGATTATGTTGTATACCAAAAACTTTGCCAGTAATAATCTTCTCCCTTCATCCATTTCTCTTTCTGATTGTCATGCTTCTTCTGTCTTTCACTATTTTGATTTATTAGATTTGCTTTTCCATTTTCAGCTTTTCCACTGATGCACTTTTCTCACCTTCCCTTTATCTCTCTCATGGTCATTGATATTTTGCTGAAATCGAATCTTCAAAATCAAATTAGAAAATCCAAAATGATTTACCAAGTGTCATAACTACATTATGATTTATTCCCAAATTAATTAAAGTCAAGTTAACAACAAACTGGTTTACATAATAATATTGGAAAAAAGTTGAGAAGAAAATAGAAGGTGAGAAAGAGAAAAATTTGATTATTAGAAATAAAGAATCAAAGGAAAGAAAATGAATTGTTAATCATAATTCTGTTTTCAATGTTTCATTTAATTTCTTTTTCATCCACAATTTATACACAACTCAATTTATTCATTTACTCATCTAATTGATTAGAATCCATTGTAATTGATTTCGGTTTCTCGACAGTCTCATCGAAACACCATTTTGGAAAAACTCTTTTATACAAATTCATTAAAACGGTGTCATTAGAGGTCAGGGGGCGATCGAAAATACATTTCATGTGCCCATGAGTTCCCAAAGGTTCCTTAATGTGACCATGGCGACCATATTTAGACCTTAACTCGACTGGTTGGAACCACTTGATATCTTCTCGATTGAAGAACATGTACCTCACAACGGCCGATTTACCGACGACTTTGAAAGGATGGCCACTTATTCTGATCCGTTTAACGACAACTCGATCTGGATTAATGTTGAGTAAAGATCCGATTGCGACTAATTTCTGGGTTCCATCTTTGTTTCTCTTGTAGGCAACAGCGGAAGCGGGTGGAAAAGTGATCGGGGCATAGAAAGAAGCCACGACTGATCCGCTGGTGGGGAAAAATCTCTCGAATTTAAATTTATCTCCATTAGTATGAGCAGAGTAAATGGGTCGAGTTACAAAACGACGAAAACCAAGGTGGATGATTAACTCATCTTTGGACTTGATTGGTTCCTCATCTTCCTCGCAATTAACTCGACGAAGGACAACATTCATCAAAGACATTTTCTGTTCGTAGGGTAAAATACCAACTAATACCAATGGATTGGATTTAGTTGATTGTTGATAATATTCAACTAATTCAATTGGAACCTTTTCCAATACAATCTCAACATAAGATCCTGCTGGTGCTTCGGTGAGACTTTCTTCTTTAAATTGTTTGATTATATGTTTACGAGAATGATCAAAGTTAGCAAATTGAAAGATTTTGCTATAATCATCTGGAAGATTTTCTTTTGGATTCCATGGAGAGTGAATGAAACTTTTCAATCCTCTGTAGCGAGCAAATCGTTGACGAGCTTCAACATCGGTTGGTGTGTCGATCTCATCAGGGAACAATTCGTTTTCTCGAGCTTCACGGAATTTGGTCAGAGCTTTTTCTTCCTCTTCTATGTCCATTTTCTCATCATAATCGCCTTCACCGGTTTCACCAATTGTCATCGTCTCAAATTCTTCTTCTTCTGGGTCGCCTTCGATTTCATCGTCACTATCTTTATCATCGACTGGCTGTTCACCTTCATAATCCTCGTCATCACAATCTGAGTCCGAATCAAGAGTCGATTTAGAGTCATTCTTATCGTTTTCTTCATTAGGGTCAATTATCCAAGCAGCCTGATAGTCGGATGTTCCTTTAGGAACCTTGACCACTTTCTTTTTAGCCTTATCCGTTGCTTCGGCCAATTCTTCTGGTGTAGGCCAAGTTTGTTCCCCTGCCATGGGATCAGGTTCATTTTCCGATTCCAAACATTCTTGTTTCAGTGGATCTGGTCTGAGAATCGTATCGGTTTTAATAGCGTCCATTTGTCGAGCGGGATTTCGGTTGTTATTTTGCAATGGCCTTGGATCATCAAGTAAAGTGATCGATTTCATTTGGAAATTTTTCCATCCTGGAATATGAATTAATCCGTTCGCATCTAACTTATTATGACGAAGATAACCGTAGACCTTAAGCAATTGATCTTTTTCGTTATAATCAAATTTATCTGCTAAAATCAAAGAGTGATGACTATGAAGAGCGACTTTCCTTTTCTTACAATTACAAACCAATTGTAACAATTGTAAAATCTCAGTTGTTGTGTCAATTTTATGAACCTTCTCGTCGGGAAATCGAGCATCTATCGCTTTTTGGATATTCTTTTTAACTGCCGCTCTTTGTTTATTATTGATTTCTTCTAATCCACAAACAATGTGCATTGTGGTTGGTAAACAATGATAGTAAATACTATTAAGATTTTCATTAGTGGTTAATGAATATTCCTCATCGGCATCAACAGGATGAATTATCAAAAGTAAATCAGATACTTTAGCAGCATCCAAATTGTAGTAAAGATCATCCGATGGGTACAAAAATTGATATCGAACCTTAAATCGGGGAATAGTCACAAAGAATGAACCTAAATAAGAAAAGAGATAATAAAATGTCAATCTAACTTCACACTGAATTCAAAGAACAAAATCTCTACTAAAAACTATCGAACAATTAATAAGAATATTAATAGATTGACACAGAATTAATATTCCACACAAACAGATTTAAAGTGAAAGAAACACAACAATCGACTTACCTTGTTGAGAGCGATCAATGATTAAATCTTGTCCACATTTCTCCAGATAATCAAGAAAATCTTCGATTGATGAACTACTATTGTTGAACAGAGTGACCAAAATCGGTGGACAATTATCGTAACCAATTTTTCTTTTCTTATTCAAAATGGCTTCACGTTTCTTTTTCCTCAATTGGCTCATCTGGTTGCGTCTTTGGACTCTTTTCGATTGTTGTCTCGCTTTCCATGATTTCTGTTTAACATCCACCTTTTCAACTGCCATTTTGAATATTCAATTCGAATTGTTAACAATTAAAATTATGGAACAATAACAATAAATAAAATCAAAAGTAATTTGATTGTTCGCAAGACATTTGAAGTTACTGATGTTTTGGAAGTAAACAAAACCCACAACTGTGAAACACGTGTTGAAGGGATCGTTTATTTATAAAAAATAGAATTTCGATAAATATTTTCAAAAGCTTTTTGTCTTTTAGCTTTTTCAATTTAACTTTTTAAAATTGGGATACAAATTGATTTTTTTAATTAACTCAAAGGTTAATTGAAATGAGAGCTGTAACAAAAAAAAACGAATAACATATTCGGAATGAAAATAAATCTTTTTATGATTTAAATGGAGTTCTAAGTGCTGAGTAAGGTGAATGTATTGATGATCGAGGTGAATTGGTTGATGATGTAAAAGGAGAATTGATTGGTGTTTGAATAGGAGGTCGAAATGGTCGTTGAAATGTGGGTGGAATTGGTGAAACTATTTCTTTGAGAAACTTTAACCCGTCAAAATCAGGTGAATCAAAATTAGTGGAATCGAATTTATCTGAAATGGAAATTAACTTTTCAGCATATTTTTGCAAAGAAACTGTTGGTCGAGAGACAATAGAACCACCGGTTTTTAATTGTTCCTCTATCTCTTCGGATCGTTTCAATAAAAGATCAGCTAAACCAGTGGCTTTGATTATTAATGAAGCTTGACTTGATGAAGCTTTTCCAGGAGACAATTTATAAGAATAATTAACATCATCTCCTTCTAATGTAACATTTGGAGTCCAGAATGAGATTTGACAAGAGTTTTTAACATATTCATTGATGGTGAGAAAATGGGTAGCCAGAAATACATGAGGAACATGATCAGCTTGAGAAAAATAATTAATGAGAGCTGAAAGTAGGCTAATTCCACTGACTGGATCAGTTCCTTTTCCTAGCTCATCAATCACGAAAACAGATCGTTCAGTTTTTTCTCGGGTCATAAGTGCCGCTTGTTTGAGATCCAAGACGTAAGATGATAAGCCCGTTGAAATGGACTCAATTGTTTTTACTCGAGTCATAATTCGTTCCATTACGCAAATATTTGCATATTTTGCTGGCACGAAGCTCCCAATGTGAGCCATGTAAATGATTAGAGCCATTTGTTTCAGATGAATACTTTTACCGCTTGCATTTGGACCAGTTATGATTCTTATCTTTCCAGGTTGATTTCCTGTTTTGCTATCGTTTGCGACATACGAGTTGACAAATATCTCTTGAAGAGGATGCCGCCCTTCTTCAACTTCTATTTCATCATTGTCATTGAAAACAGGTCTCTTGTACTTGAAACATCTCGATGTCTCCGCTATTGCGATGTACCTGATTTATAAATCAATTAAAAAAATCAATTTCAAGTGCAAATAAATATAATAATAAAAGAGATAAAAAAACTAATCAAAATCCAAGACTATGGTAAATTAATTATACTTACGCATCAATTTGAGCACAAAGATGAGCCAATTCATCCAAAACACTGATTCCATTCAAGACCTTGAGTTGAAGCTGGACAAGTAGCTTACGCTGTTTCTCTGTTATTTCAATAAGAATATCACCAAAAGTTTCATCTAGTTCTCTTGTCATTGGTGATTTATAGAAACCAGATTCTCCAACTCGATAACGAAATTCTAGTCCAGCAATTTTAAAGTTGTTTTCAAACATTTGTCCAGGATTAAGTGGAACTTTCAAATGAAAACCAAGGTGAGTTGCATAGATGATTTGACAAGAAGGAATTCTGTCAACATAACGAGAGAATTCTTTCATTCCATATTGGTGCATGATATCAGGTAGTTTTCCAAAAAGATTTTTCAATTCATCAAGATCCATGTCTATTTTTCTATTAATCTCGAATCTTCCAGTTGCACGGGATTCACGAAAATCGATTACAGCATCAATCAGATCGATAATGTCTGAAAGTCGACTTGAGTCAAAAACATCAACAAAATATGAAGCAATGGAAAAGTTGTTCTTGATGTTTCTTAAATACTCATAAACTCTCTGAGTAAGTTTGGCTGTTCGTAGTAATTTAGCCCAATCGTTGACATTACAATCAGCATAGCGCATTTTCTCAATCACTGATGAAGGATCTTGAATTCCTTTCAAACAGCTTTTTATGCCATCAGCTATTGACGGGGTGTCGAAGAAAAATTGAACCATATCAAGCCTTTCATTGAGCTCTTGTACATTTTTAGTTGGCTGATTAAAAAGCTTCTTCAAATGACGAGATCCAATTCGAGTTGAACATCGATTGTAAAGGGCGAAAAGGCTTAAACCTTCTTTACGTGAGTTACCCTGCTTGTAGACGGAAGGATGATTTTCAATTGCAAAAATTTGGAGAGCCAATTTGGATTGTGAATCAAGATAGATCAAATCTTGTAGAGTGACGGTGGATATTCCATTGATAATAATCTTTTGTCCATCACCATCAGAGATTAAATTGGAACTTTCAATCTCCTTTATGAGAGCACCAAGAGCGAGTAATGTTATTTTTTGAGAAGAGTCAAGTAACGTTGAAAGATACATTAACTTTTGTCTTGGGTCAGAGAATGTCGGCATATCTGATACTTGCAGTTGAAAGACTTTAGCCCAGGCTTCATCAGGCAGAAAATCGGACGCTTGACGAGTCATAATGATTCCAGAAAATTCATTTATTCCTTCCAAGTCAATAGATTCATCGAAATCATCACTATAAGCATCTGATTCTTCAAACATACTTAATCTTCTGGATCCCGAAAATGGTGATTCTCGACAGTCCATATTACGAGCTCTTTTTGACCCATTTCCATCATCACCACCAAAGAATCCAGCCCTTTCCCGTTCATTTGCCGAGTCTCTTCCAAATAGACCGTCTTGAGACTGCTGTCGATTGTCACCTAATCCAGTTGAATCTCCATTAACGGGTAAAATCAATTGTTTAACTGCAAACATCAAACGATCCTTGACCTTCGAGTCAAGTCTTGTTGAGATGAGTATTTTTTTAGGTTCAACTTGTAGGACAACTTTATCTATTACCGACAAATCACCAGCCACTTCAGTTTGATCTTCAAAAAGGAAAAATCTATTCCTTTTGGTTGAATAATAAGCAAACCCTAAAAGGTGAGTACTGTAATGAACAGATAAGATGTTACCTTCACCATGATCTTCAATCACTTCATCTCCTCCATCAGCCAACTCATCGACAGGACAATTATTAACACTAATCCCACCAGATCCTCTATTAGATAAACGAGATCCAATAAACGGTGAACTAATCATAATAATCAATTAACAATTTCAACAATAAAAAAGATAAAACAAAAGCCACAGAGAAAAATAAAAAAGAAGTCAAATCAGAACGAAAACCAATTGACCGAATGACAACAAAGCCAAAAAGAGAAGAAAAAAAAATTCGAATTCGATTTAATTTCTTACCAAGAGAAAAAAGAAAAACCAATGAGTCATAATGACATTTGTTCTTCTCTTAGTTGGATAATTTAGTCTACAGACTAAAATTTGTCATTTTTTCTTTTAATTGTCCAGGATGGAAATTCCATCGAAAGGAATCAAAATCAAATGTAAGTAGCAATTAGTTAACCAATTTGATTGTTTTCTTAATTTGATTACATTTCGATTACTGTGATTATGTGAAACCCTTTGATTTTTTGTTGACACTGAAAGTCTACAATTGGGACAAGCTGATTGTGGAAATTAACTAAGTAAAATTGTCAATTTGTTTTGAATATTTAACTAATTAAAACCCGTATCAATTGATTGTATTGATTGGAAAAAGGGTTAACAATTTGTGGTGAAAAAAAGGTAACAAAATCACTTTGGGTGTTTGGATTAGTATTACTGAGATCAATTTACTTTTATTTCATCTTTTATATAGAAATGAAAACTGTAACCTTTGGTTATTTAATCGCTTCTCTAATTGTTTTAATCTATTTTTCTTTCACCTCAGCAGATTCAGTGGATATTGATGGTAAGTAATACGTTTAACCTTAAAAATTATTCGAAATTCGACTAATTTATTGTTATCATGTGAAGACACTTTCGATTCATCTATTGAACCGATTCACCTTGAAACTACTACTTGGTTTACTAAGCCAACTCGTCGTTCCCTAAATTACTGTAATTGGTTACAGTTTGTTAATCGATCTTCATGGGAAGCAAGTGCAACTGATCATGAGATCCCGATGATGGATTTACCTGTGGATAAGATTTTCGTCGATTTCACCTACAGCGAAAGATGTTCAAGTTTATATTCCTGTTCCTTTCACCTTAAATCAACTCAAGCTTATCATAAAAAGAGATTGGACTTTTTGATATTGCTTATAATTTCATGGTCGGTGACGATGCTAAGGTTTACATTGGACGAGATTTTAATCATGCTCGAGCCTTTGACGATGATTATAACAACAATTCATTACTGATTGGGATTATCGGTGATTATGATGATCCATACGGAGCTTTGCCGCGATCGTTGGACATAATTTATAAATTAATCCGATGTGGTCAAGAAAAGGTAAATATATAAGATTTATCAATATAACTTTTTATTGTTATTAATACTTACATGATACTTTGTTTGAATTCTAAGGGATATATCACTGAAAATATAACCATTTATGAACCAGTGGCTGATTATTGTCAAAAAGGACCAGGGAAAAGGTTTTATAATTATATTTCACTTGATCGAAAAAGAAAAGTTGATTATAAATGTTTGAATAACGATCAACGTAGATTTGGACCAGAGATTTTGAGAAATGGATTGAAAATATTTTCTTCTAATTCAATTGACAATAATCTTGTTTGATTAAATATATTTGTTGATTATTAAACCACAATTTAGACAATTGTGGTTAATTTACTACTCATCATGTCTTTTTACGAGGTTCGCGGGATCGTGTTGAGTTGACCATTCGTTGACTTTTATTAGGTGAGTACATTGCTTTCAGTTCCAGAAAAGTTTTCGCCATCTCCCCAAGTATAACTTCAGGTCCAATCAAAGGTTCCAACCTGATGAATAAAAAATCCAAAAAATCATGACCACTGGTCACTAGAAATAAGGATAAAATTTACTCACCAGGATTGATAAGCATCACAACAAGACCTATTGGTCTTACAACATGTTCGAGCTGCATAAGGAATAGAACCACAAATAAGACTAAAGCAAAGAAACATTGGAGTCGATGAATGGACTGGAATCGACGAAAACAACAAAAACATTAATAGAAACCCTCTGAATATCATTGTAGGTTTACTAGTGATCAATGAGCAGCGTCTTATTAACAAAAGAAACCAACAATCTAACATCATCCATCCCCATTAACGCCACGATAAAGCAGCCATAGGATCCCTCATGTGATGGAAAAGTAAAATTAGTTCTCAATGCTGATTAGAATTGCGAAATGAGTTCATCGGATCCAATAACTAGGACAAAAGAAAAATAGATTCGATGAAAAAGTCAAATTAGAAATGATTAGATTAATTTATGGATAATATTGAACTGTGGGTTATGATTGAACAGTTGGTGTTTACCTTTACCTGGAAATTTTAATGTTAATCAACATTTTGATTATTTGCTGTTTTCCTTTGAGGATACAAACCAAGTGTCAACTGAAAATTAAGTAATCTCATAAAAAAGAAATAAATAAATGTGATAAAAAAGATACAAGGTTAAACAATCAGCGAATCATGTTTTAAATCTTCGATTAATGTCATTTGTGTGTGTATGTTAAATCAGATCATCCTCTTAATTAACCAATTCATCAACCGGCATCACAATCGTTAGAATCAGTATCTTAATCGTCACTAAGTCAAAATCGCACTTTACTGTTGAGGAATTAAATTGCTTGAGGCACAAAACGGAAAAAAATCATTCTCTATAATATTAGTTGCCAATCTTTTTCTTCTTGATCCTAATCCATACCTTGACATGATGATATTACAATCAAAGAGGTAAATCAAAAGTTAAACACCAATTAATTCAATCACTTATCATCATAACAAATAACAATGTTTATAGTTTCTGATGTGAATGATGAATATCATAATTAACATGACGAGATATTGATCATGTCTTAATTTAATCCTCTAGAAAAGGTGACAGTTACAAACAACCAAAAAGATTGACTAAACTAACAGTAAAGGAAATAGCAATTAGTTAAAATAAAAAGAACATCAAAATTAAATCAAAACTAATTACGGAAAATAAAAAAACTGTTTTCAATTAATTTTAAGACACAAAAGTAGACAAAGACAAAAAATATAATTTAATAACTGCAGGTACCAGCAGAGGTGACGAAAACAAACCAACAGTAATCAAATTAGTTAAAAGTAGACTAATAACAATTAAAAAAAAGGTCAAAACAATCAATAATTACAATAAGAAATCAATTAAAAAATGAGAATTAAAAATCAATCCAAAATCTTTGTTTACTATTGGGGGGCGAATAATAATTTCCATTAAAGATCAACAGTAATGAGAATGTGATTACCTGTTGATTATTTAATTAGCTCTTAATTTAATTATCTAATTTACCGTAATTATGGTTTCGAGTGATTTGTGATAATTGTTGAAACTTTGTTTTCTTCATTGTAATTAACCAACAAAGAGAAAGAAAACTAATCATCATTTGATTTCTTCTTCTTTTTTCTCTCATTGTTTTCGCTTTGTTTTTCTTCAGTAAGTGTTGGTGTTTCTCTACCGATGCCATCATGTTACAACTTTCACCTTCTCTATCCAGGTAAGTTAATTGCTATTATTATCATAATAATTCACAATTTTCTGTATTCTTAATTCATTACTAATGCTCAACCTGAGCATCAACAAAAATGAGACTCACGAACCGATTAAACTTGAATCACCATCAACATGTTACAAAGCAATTGTGAGTTTCCACTCAGGTAGGAATCGGTTTTTTGTTTTACTCATTTAATCAAAAGTATATAATCAATTAATTGAATTTAAATGCAAATCAAATGTTTAATGTATTACATAGTTATTATGGTTTGCACTTTGATTACATTTGTCTTCATGATGATGATTTACCTGATAATACACCAATGGTTAATGAAGGAAAAATTATTTTACAGAATAAAATTAAACTAATCAACTTTGACTTGATTTTATCAACCTACTTTGGGTCAATGTCAGACACGAGTAACAAGCAACAATTTGCTTAATCATGATCATCAACATAATCAACAATAAAAGTGACTTTTAAACTGGGAGACAATTAAATTAATATAATCAAATTGAAGATGAACATCAACAAGCATCATTTTCTCATTTAAATCGTCGGATTATCAATCAATTAAAAGAAGATGATTCTGAATATATTAACCATCTCTCTCTCTCTCTCTCTTCCTGAATCTTCATGTTAATTGTGAAATTAAATTAAACAGAATGACATCAATGTTAATTTTCATATTTTTCTTTTTTTTATCCTCGTTTACGTTAATCGCAATTCTAATCCGAATCATTAATCTTAATCTCTTTTTTATCTTTAATTTTCTCTTCCCTTTTAGTTTTTATGGTTAATCAAATGATTTAGACGAAAGTGAATTCATGTTAATGATTAACTTTCACATCGATCAGAATGTGAGCTTGTTAATTGTAACCACAAATTAGAATTACAATTTGTTGTTACTTCTAATTGGTTCAAATTGTATCATTTAATTAATATAATAATCGCAAGGGTAAGATCATGATCGTAAAAAGAAATTAAAATTAATTAAATTTAAAAATTGAAACAAAGATTTTCTTTTAATTGAAATGTTAAAATTTTCTTCAGGTGATTTGTTAATGTTAATTGCTGCTGATAAATGATTAACAACAACAACAGTTATAATTTATCAACATGGACAACAGATGAGATGCTGGGAATTGATATTCATTGATTATACAATTTGAACCTGTTAATTGTAAGCCACAATTGTAAACTGATGGACCACCCAATAGAACCGGTATCATGATGACCACCGGTCAAACAACATGAAGTGTCTGCTGGTCAACTGAGGAAGTGTCAAATAATCAAAGTTGATGATAATAGTAGACAACATACTGCGTGGGCTTTTTGTGAGTTAATAAACGTGATTAAGATTCAACTGTTTAACTTAATTGTTAATTGAATACACTCAAGATTCACCTTGATTATCATTTGTTTAATCATGTCTATCACCAAGAATCAGTGAAAACAAAACAAATCGGAACCATGTGTTAATTAATTAACATGGCTAATTAACTGTTTTCATTCAACTCAATTCAATTATAATGCTTTTCGTTGTATTTATGACAGATAATCAGTTAATCATTTGAATAATCTCACTAATTGACCAAGTGTGAAGCCGAATCAAGTTAACCAATAATTGATTGATTACCTGATTTAATGGATATGAAGATGAAGATGAAAATTTTGATGGCAACCAGTAGACAATTAAGTTAAACAATGACAATCAACAGCACGAATGATAATCATGATGATATTTCAAGGCGCTCATTCATATAATAATAATGATAATAAATTAATTAGCATTTAATTTACAAAACCATTAATCATAATCTATTGTGTTGATATAAAGATGGAATCAATCAACACAATTCCCTAAAAGGATAACAATTAAATAATCACCAATTTACAGACTAAATTAACGAAACCATATTAACCAAAAAATTAAGACTAAACTGAAACAATGGTAACATCATTGTGATGATGATCCAAATTTAACTCACTGATACAATCAATAAACGCTAATCAACAAGTTAATTTTGTCTAAATTAGTAACAATTAACCTGTTGTTGCAATACCCACATGTAATATTAATAGTTAAAATTAACCAGCTGAAGAAATTGTCTTCAATTGGCAACAATTAAGATCATTTTCTTTTAATTACTCTGTTATATATTTATGATGATTTGTAAATCGAGAAAAAGCTTTTCGTACAATCAGTTAATCATCATGTTAATCTCTATAGAATTGAATCGAGAATTAAATGAAAAGAAGAAGCGAATTCGGTAAATGAGTTTCAATTGTAGTTCGAAAGTGTACATTTCATCACGAATAATTCACAATTTTGTTACTTTTATTCATCAACAATTTACATCAACCAGTTAATTACAATAACTAATGATAGTAAATGCGGAAATTACTTTATTATTTAAGATATTATATGAAAATCGGAAAATTTATCATGTCCGATTCACGATCAACATCATCAAATGTACAATAATATTAACTGAGGACGACAAGAGGTCAGTTGAACAAAAGGCAATCGTCAAATTGTTTTCAATTATTATAATCAAAAAGGAAACAAAATTTCATCCAATTTATTTAACTTCATCAACATGATTAACAATTGATTGGTTGTTAATCAACGAGATGAGAGAGATGATCAAGTAAACAATTGAAAAACGAGTATAATCAAGGATTAACATTTATATTCTGATGGGATCAAGATTAAAGGAGGATAAGGAATCGTATCAATTAACATCATCATCTTTAATCATCCTCATCATTGGGATGATAAATTGAAATGATTGAAACTGTAAAGGAAATGATATAATTATAAGCCGATTTTAAATTGTTAAATCAAATAGCCTAAAGGTTAATGATATTGTTATTTATTATTTATGGTTAATCATTTACCTTTATAATTAAAAGTAATTACAATCACACCGTTTGTAATCACATCAATAATTAATATAGAAAAAGTAAATAATTAAATCAAATCAGCAATGAATTTATATCATATAACAATCAATCCCTGTTAATATAATCAACTCTTTCTTTATTATTGTTATTTGGAAAGTTAATTGTTTGTTCAACAATCTATTAATTATTAACAATATGATACATCATATTTTGTACATGTAACTGGAAACTAAAATGAATTGTTGATTACTAATTAATTAATGTACCAAAAAGTTATAACGAATACTAATTAACCTTCTAATTAATCGTGATTGTTGATTATTATCTCAGCTCTTAATCACAATTTAATCTTCGCCTTGTTTTAAATAATAATAACAATTTGGACAATTATCTTTTTGCTTTTCCATTCAACAATTTGTTCTGATTTTAAAAGTCATAATATACTAATTGTTACTCAAATACTATATGGTAATTGGAAAGTTAATTCAAATTAAATATTAACCTGTCATGATAATCAAAGTCCAACATCGTGAAACAATTTAATCAACGTGAAAAAGTTTAATCATAATACCAAATGTAAAGAGATTCGTTAATCAATTCTAGTAAATTACAATTTACACTTGATTAACTTTAATTACTCGGACTAAATTCATCCACAATATTAACACAATTAAAGGCAATTAAATTGCTCAGTTTCACTTTTAATCACTAACCAATGTGACTATTTAACAAAAAAAAATTAAAACTCCAACAATTTACTAACTAACTATATGATATTGATGGCAAGAAAAAAAGATAATTAATTTAGTTAATCAATTAATTAATCCATAATAATAACCAGGCTTTACTAGTTAATAAGTTAGATGTTTTAATTTTTTGTTGACTGATTTAATTAACTTTTTTTTTAATTTCATTTCTATTTGCATTGTATCATAATTGATCACCAATCTAGTTAACTAACTACTATTTTTTTGCAATCAAGTCAAGGACAATTAACGAAAACACAGTTAATTATAATCAAGAATTAAAATCTTCCAGCAGAGTGTTATGATTAAACCTCAAAGTGATTATAATCAGTCAATCACTTTTTTTTGCTTAACCTTAAATTGTTATCCATGATTAAAACTAATCTTGATCATCTTGATTTTAATTGCAACTGCACTCGATGTGGTGAAAAAATCAAGATTCAGTTGATAATCACCTTAATGATTAAGCCAAACGTAATCAAGATTAACCAATTTAATCAATTCAAGGATTGTCAAATCTGTTACTATTAACAAATTGTTGTTAGTAATTAAAAGCCTTCATCATGCTCATCCTCTTAATCATGATTTACTTTGCGATCAGGAAAACGGAAATTTAACAATTTTCATTGAGAATTAAATTAAATTAAATTAAATTGATGATCTAATATGTTTTTTTTTCATTTACAATTAACAATCAATTCTGGAAAAACCGACAACTTATTAGTGTTAACAATTGATTTTGTTTAATTTAATTTTTGAGCTCTTCATATCAGATGTACTGGTAATAATAAACAATTTATTGATTGTTACAGTTTGTTTTTCTTTCCAATGATTAGAATCAGTAAATTGTTTGAGATTAATAACACGCGACAATCAAATCACCTTATTGTTGATTACTGGTCACTGTTACAATCGATGTTAATTGTAAGCAATACTTGTGATTAAATAAGCTGATCAGTTGAATGATACTTGATAATAACAATCAACAAGGAAATGATCATTCATCTGTTGATTGTTGCTGATTAAGGTTAATTAAAGGTTATCAAAGGGTCAAGATTAAAGATGACAATTTAACTATTATTTTAAATTATAAGTGTTAATGATGATTAGATTAACAAGGCAATAGTAATTATAATATTAATTACAAGGTTAATCATGATGACAAGACAATCAATTGATCACGATTAAGATGATAATGTTAATTGTGAAGTAATTGTTTCATTTTCATTGATTGTTGTCTATTGATCATTATCATCGTTAACACAATCAACAACTAATTATTTATTATCTATTTAAAGAATCAGTAAATTTAAATGTTTACGTAAAAATAATCGTTAACAATTAACTGACAAAGTAATTATACAATTTGCAAGAAAAATTTAATTTGATTTAGTTGTTTAAGTTATAATGACAATCAGAAAATATAGTTTGTTAATTTAGGTAAAAGGAAAACTAATCAATGATAATCAACTATAAGAGATTTTAACTTTTTTTTTTAATTGTAATTAAAATGAGATTACATCTTTCCTAATTGTTACATGTCTACAATATGTTTACACTGAATCAATTGATTGTCCGGAAGTTATATCAATATAAATTAATTCGTTAATCATCAATAGTAAAACAAACAAACAATTTAACTGAATCAAAAATTCAAGTTGATTATATTAACAATAATACTAAGAAATGTTGATGATTTAAGCTGCAATGATAATGATAATAAGATGGATTGATTAAAACAATCAACCAATTGTTGAAACGAATTGAAAATTATATTGTTTCAGCTAATCAACTATTGATTGTTCAATGATTTATTTTAATAAACACACGCAATCAGATTAAATTGTACAATTTTCATGCTATTAAAAGTATAACAAACAAATGGAAAAGTTTATCGGCGATTAATTTAATTCAGTTAAAATTCTGATCGATGAAGTTTGGAATCAATCAAGAGAAAGATGAAGTTATCATTTCATGATAGAACTTTTTCTTTCTTTTTCCAATCTCTTTCGAATTTACTTTCATTCTTTTTCGAACCTGATCTTCCTCTTTTCTCATCTTCTTTTCACTTTCGCATCAAAGTCTCTCCTCTTTATCATCATCTCTCATTATCTTTTCTCTTACATCTAATCATCATCTTCGTCTTCACCTCCTTCTATTTTCCCTCCTTCTTACGATTCGAAGATCATATAAATACGAGGAATCAATTTCATCTTCGAATCACTTGATCACAATCATTCAATTCTCTTCAACTTCTTCTCTCCATCTCGAAAATAGTCAATTGTTGATTATATTATTTTCTCTCTTCGAATATTTTTTATCACTTTTTGTTCTAATTAATATTATTTTCTTTCATCTAATCAACTAATTCAATCAAATTCAAAATGAAATTTTCTTACGTTCTCTTTGGTAAGCAAATAATTAATCCTTTACCTTTGTGTTTCCGTTTGTTATCAACAATTAATGTTAACGAAACAATCAATGTGGATGATGGATTATATACTTCAAAGTGTTTCAATTTTATCGATTAACATTCAATTAGTAATCTTAATCCTCCAAGATTAATCGATTACTCTCCCAACAATTGATATTATTTTCTAATCAACTTGAGTGTAACAATTTTTGCAAAACTAGTTGACACAATCAATTTTGTTTCTTTTGTCAAACAATTTGAACTCTAATTGATCAAAGATATCGTTAATTAACTAGGTCGATATTGACAATATTCCGATAGAAGTTCTGATAAAAAGTTACGATTTGAATATAATCTATTTTTCAATGTCTTTTGTTTGATAATAATAATGATCGATAAAATTTGAAGTGCAAACAGCTTGATTCTCATTGTTAATTTGTTTAATTGTTCCATTTTCTAATCAATTGATTTGTGTTCCTCTTTTTTATCTTCTATCAATTAGCTATTGTCATCGTCGCCGTTTGTGCCCGAAATGTCCGAGAAAAGCGTCAAGCCAACACTTTATTATTACCCGATGGAATTGAGTTTATTTTAAATGCTCCTTTGGTGTCAAAGTTCAGATGTGAGGCCGCTGGTTATTACGCCGATATCGATAACAATTGTCAATTGTTTCACATTTGCGATGCTTCAACTAACCCACGAGGTGTTGCTGAGATCCGTCAATACACTTTCGCCTGCGGCAATCAAACCATTTTCAATCAATTGACTCTTACCTGTTCAACCCCAGAGGAATCAATTCCTTGCGAAATCGCCCCACAATTTTACGCCATCAACTCGAAACTCGGTCTCGAAAAGACTCCACTTCACACCGAAGAAGATCTTACCAATGCCGCTCAATACATTCCCTCTCGAGCTAAATTGGCCAATTAATCAACTAAAACAATCAACTACTAACAACTTATCAACACTCTAAAAGTAGAAAATTAATCAGTGAAGAAAAATGTAGATCGACAAACAAATAAAGAAGCTGTAAAAATAAAGAAAATGTAGTTTTCGCGTTCAGAACTTAAGTGAGAGGGAGAGAAAAGATATTCTTATTGTGCCTTATTATTATTCTTCGATAGCCAAAATCAACTCTCACTTTCATCTCCTGTTTCCTCATCTTCCTCATCCGAATCTCTCCTCTTCCCCTGCAACTCAAATCCTCTTTTTGTTCAATATTAATGTAAAAAAATAAAATAAAAATGATTTCCATTAACCTTGATTCGCTTACAGTTCACTTTCTTTAATTCGTACAAAAGAAAATTAGAAAAAAAGGAAATTAATTGTTGATTAACACGAATTGAAGAAGTGTCTTTAAGTTTTTTTTTACTGAATTATATTGTTTTGTTTACTTTTGCAATTGCTAGCCTATCCATATCAAACGAAACCAAAATTTTTGGTCTTAATTGCCATCAAAAGCTTTGAGCGTAAGACAGCTTTGGAGGAGTATAAAGGAAGATATAATCGCGATATACAAGTATTTGCGGTTGGTAAATGCTGATCATCGGCTGGCCTTATTGTTACACTAGGCATTTGATTAAAACCTTCTTCACTGGCAGGTAAGGCCGGACTTCCAGTCCAGAAGTCAACTAGATCTTGTTTTTCTTGCGTGGTCATTTTTTCCACAATTGACCAGAACCATTTTTTAAAGTAAGCTAAATGTTCACATCCATCTCCTAATAATTGAAAAGAAACAAAAAAAATGATAATGAAATTGACAGTCAATTGACGAAGAATCCAAGTTGATATGAACAGATAATAATGTAGATACATACCACTTTCATAATTGAATATTGTATAACTTATCAATTGCTGGACATTAATTTGACCAACACCATTTAATAACAATCTAAAATCTTCAGCAGTTAAATTATCGAATGAATTTGCAGGCAAAACATCAAATATCCCTGCCCTTAAACACTGTAAAGTTGAAGAAAAAGGAAAAGGAAAACAAAAATATTAATACGAATTTAAATTGAGCCAAGAATCGTGAATCATTCATTGGAAAAGAAAATTATCTTACCTGTAAAGCTACTTTCTGACAATGGTACATTCTATAAAGAGCATATTTCCTAACATAATCATAAACATTGCTTGGAGTAACTTCGATGTTTCGTCCATTTGGAATTAAATCGACGTGTCCGCCCAGTTCTTCTGGACAAAGGTCGATGGAAAATCTTAAATCTAATGATGAAAATAAAGTCTCAGCATCTTTGTCCAATTCAGCACTCATAATAAGTTGTCGCAATGATTCATAAAGAATTGGATCAAAGAAAGCTAAATCATGCCATGAGATTTGTCTTCGAAGAATATATTTGATTACATGTCGATTGAAAAAGATTGGACATAAATCATTTTGCAATAAACACAATCCGATAATACGACCAACATTACGGAAAGCATTTTTACGTTCTTGTGTACATTTGCCTTGACGAGGTGAAACAAACCCGCGTTTACCAGGTTGATAAAAGAGTGGAGCATTGTCTTCCACTTCATCATCATCTTCCATTGTACCTTGTCTTAAATTAGTTGGTGGAGTAGATCCGCTTCCTACACCACTGCTTTTATTCAAATTTGATGAATTGGTATTTGATGATCGACTTAAATTAAATATATCCAGATCTCCGGGACTGTCAGATGAATTGGAATTGGAATTTTGATCTCTTCCATGGGTCAGTATTATGTCTACCGCCTCATCGACTTTATTGCGAAGTGACTCTTCTGAGGCAAACAGAGTTAGTAGGTGGGGAGGTGAAAGTTCAAGTAGCATGCCAGTAATCCTGCTTGCAAGGGTGGGTCTAAGTTGGGCCACTTTAGGGTACAGGCGGACTCCCAATTGTTGACGATGGGGTGTTAGTAGTTCATTCAAGTTGACTGGTCCATTGTTATTTGAGACTGATGAGGATGAGGATGATTGTTGTTGGACATCGCCAGGCATGGTAAATGGTGGTGCATCATAACGTAATTGGTTAGGTCCATCACGATCTGATCTATCACGAGCGTTTGAGATTAAATCACGAGATGAAGATGACGAACGGTGGCTTGCATAGGCTCTTCTTTGCAATTCTTTCTCTTTCTCTTTTGATTTTAGTCTTTGAAGAAGGTTATAATGGAGACTTCGACTACCTACATGACAACCATCGAGAGGAGGTAATTTTTCATTTGAAAGAATTGCTTCAGCAAAAGCTGTATAAAAGCTTCGAGCGACTCCACTTCCTTCACCGGGTTCATCTTTAAAAGTAACTTTAACTCGAGAAATCGCCAGTAATGGAGAACCAGCAGAAAGACGGCGACTAAAATTATTGTACATTGAATTGAGTTCCTTAAAAGTTTGCTGAATCAGAGCATTTCGTTCACGATCAACTTTAGAAAAATTTAAATCTCTTTGTTGTGATGTTCTTAGTTTTTCCATTTCTTTACGAAACTTTGCTTCTTTCACTGGAAATCCACCAAGTTCACGGATAATTGAACCAGGTTCAGTTCCTACATCATCAACGAATATACGACCGAACAGTTCAAGAGTCAATCGCCATCGGCCAAGAAGTATATCATATTGAATAATATTTCCTATAAGTGAGATCGGTCTTTTACTCAAACTGCTTCCATGTTCATTTGATTTACCAGTAGTCGCTTTTTCATCACAATCATAAGGTGATTTCATATTGGATGAATGACCAGAGCTTCTGTTGCTATCGTAAACAGGATTAGTTGATTTGATAGAAGCTGCATGAACAATAACACTTGATTTATTACTGGTTTGTATGGGTGATACAATAATCGGCGAACGACTATGACTTGGATCGGTAATGACAGAAAGAGATCTTGAACTAGATGGGCCACTACAGGTTGATAAAAATGTCATATCGACTTGATTGTTATCTGGTGTACCGATATTAGAAGTAAATGATGAAGCACTTTGGTCAATATTCCTTCTTGTTCCAAAGGATTCGTTGTTGGATCGATCACTAAAGCTTATTCGAGCAGGGAGAGAGTCAAGTAATATCTGATCACTATCAGAAGAACAATTAACTGATGGTCTTGGTACACCAAACAAATCTTCTTTACGAGCTTGGGGTTGCAAGAGTTGAGGTTGATCAGCAAGAGGAAGAGCCTCAGCCAAAGGAGTAGAAAATGGATCTGGTGGTGGACATCCCAAGAAAAGAGTTGAATTGGATCTTTGGAAGAATCGATGTTTTCTTCCTTTGTTCAATGAACTTGCAACTCCTGAATTAAGATTGGAATCATCATCGATGTTGTTTGGATCATTTTGATAACATGAGTCATCATCTTGATCTTCGATGTCATTTTCCGGTTCTGCAATGTCGTCTTTCAATGAATCTGATGCTTTGCTTGCTGCTAAACCATCATTTCCAGCTCTCATAAAGTAAATGAGAGCATCAAAAACATAAGCAACGTGTTTAAGTGAAGAAACATCGAGAACAGGCATTGAGTCAAAGTGTTCGTTGTTATGAGCTCGCATTAGTGACATAGCGTAAGAAAGAAAATCTTTTCGAGCTGGACCACTTTCCAGGGTTGTAGAATTCGGTATTCGAGCACTGTTAGAGGTGACAGCATTTCTACGATTAGCGGTTGCTGATCTTGCATCACTCATTAAACTTCTACTATCCTCTCGGCGCGTTGAACTTGCCCGAGTTGTGGCTTGGGTTGATTGAGTTGTAGTCACATTAAGAGGTTGCACTCCAGTCAGGGTGACACCTGAATTGTTTGATAGAGCACATCCAAATCTTAATTGTCCTTCTGTTGCATCCATTACATTAATTAACCAGTCCCAAGTTGGTTTAAGTTTGTTCTCCAAGAAATTGAGTAAACTAATTGACTCACTATAACTCATACCGATGGCATTTATTCCAGGAGATACTCCTGGTCTATCACCCATGTTGTGAAGAGATGGGACTAGGGCAGCAAGTTGACGGATAACGATAGAAAATGCTCGTGCAAGAGAAATGGCTGTAGTGGCCATAGAAACACCTTCACCAGCGGTCGAAGTGGTGGGAACAGGGGCAACCGATGATGCTGATCGTCTTTGAATGGTAGTTGGATCAATGTGAACAAGTCCAGTTGATCCTGTGATGGCATTTACAGATATTCGACCACCAGGGTTAGCTGTTGAATTTGTGGCTCCTGATGACATTTCTCGATGTCTCAATGCCCATTGAAGATGTTGAGCAAGATTACTTCTAACTTGAGATGGATTAGTGGTGTTGGTTGAAACTCCACTGATATTTGAAGTACTATTCACAGGGTTAGCACGCCTTTCAAGAGATTCCTCGATGTATGGTAAATCTTCATTATCTGGTTCGGTCTCAGCAGCATCACTATCTTCTTCATCTTCGGCATTCGATGAATCACCAGAATCATCTTCTGAGAAATAAGCAGCTCCTGTTTCAGAGCCTACGACATTACCCGTGTTGGATGATCGTTGATTGACATTAGCTTCAGCATTACTTTGATATGAAGCAGGTGAATCATCGGGGTTTGAGTCAGAATCTGATTCACTTTCATCATGTTGACCTTCCGGTGCCTCTGCAATGTCATCGTGTTCACTTCCATCATGTTCACCATCTTCTAAACTTTCAATAACATCAACTTCATGGTCTTCGTCGACACTTCCAACCACAACATCAGCACCAACAGATGCTTCAACTAGACCAGAATTATTCTGATTATCAGCACGAATGTCGTCAGAATTATCAGCCATCAGTACATCAGATTCTTCATCAGCATACATTAAACCAGAAGAGGAAGATCCATTGCGAGTTACAATAGGTTCAACTGAGAATAATTGTTCACTAACTAGAATGGCATCAAGAAGTGAAGAGACCAAAGAGAAAGGTGCAGTTGGACGGGCTACACCCAATCGAACAGGAGAGATTAATGCATCAGCAAGTTCACATAATTCTTCAACAGCTATTGGTAATAGAGCCTGGAAAACTTTTTGACATTTTGCAAGTTGAGAGGAGGGCGAATTTTTCTTAAGATTGCTACTTGCACTGGCGTTTAAATTCTGATAAGAGGCTGGAGTTAACTCGACACAGAGAATAACACCGACTCGAGCAACAGATCTTACAAATCGACGAGCAACAAGTCGAGCCTCTTTGGCAATGTTGGGATTAGCATTATGGCATTCGCGTATAATGGTCACCAATAAAGGTTCAAGCATTTCAAATGAAACCTTAACCAACAGGCAATGGGTAAATTTATCCAATAAAGCAGTTCCATTTTGACTTTGAAGAAAAGCTTGTTCCTCGGCTGCGGTGTAGGTTAAATTTGATCTACAATGATTTTGCACCAATGAAGCTATATTATTATCACCACGGTATCCGGTTAGAATCATCGATTTAACAGCATTCCAATCTTGAAGAATTCGATCCAATGCTCGACGAGCAAATCGAGGCGGTTCCAAGTCATGATCGGGTATTTCAGCTTCAACATTTCCACTGAGTTCAGAGGCTTTACGGGTAATGGAAGAACGAGATCGAGCTGGACGGTGTTGCCTTTGTTCAACCATTTGACGACCTACTGTTTGAACCAAGAAAAGTAAAATATTTTCTCCTCGGCCGTTGGGTAACGTAACCAGATCAGTGTCAGAGAGAAGTTTCTTCAACAATTGGTGGCGAGCAGGTTGAGAGCTTGCAATTAATGCTTTACATTTACATTTCTCCCAACAATCACAGTAGGCAGTGGGTGAGGTTTTCTTAAGTTTACAGTCGTGACCCTTGTGGCAGACACGAGCACATTCAGTACAACAACAAAGAGAATCAATAAGTCCACAAGTTTTACATTCAAAAATATCTTGGTTTATATGTTCTTGGCCAGTCCAGGTAAAACTGCAAGTATCATTGCAACAGAGAACATGAAGAGGTGAATCATCTGGATTAGATCCTCTTGGATATAACATTGACATGACAATTTTTTTCTGGTTTTCTAAATCACTACTTAATTCCTTGGCAATCCTTTGGGCAACATTAAACAGATGAATAGCAGCGGTATAAGCACGGCCAGTGACCGCAAGCATAAAGGGTGTATAACCTTGAGAATCTTTTGCACACATAAGCTCTTTGAGGAAAGGCTTGAGAACCTGAGATTCGGTGAGAGCCCAAAGCACCGAAAGGGCAGCGGATTTTTGTTCATTGGCATCATAGAAAGGGAATTCGTTGGTTGTTGAAGAATCACTGGTCAGGTTGGGCATAGACGAAGCAGGCGAAGCCTCCATTTCTGAGTCACTTCCTTCAGCATTGAGAGCACGCTCATTGGAATCACGGTCTTGATTCGATAAAGGTGAAGGTCTATTGCTTCCTCGATTTCTTTTAATCATTTCATTTAATGTTCGGTTACTTGAAACATTAAGCAGATCCAATGCTTCACTGTTGTTTTCTTCGATAGTTGATTCTTGTTGTGGTTTGTTTGAAGTCGGGAAACATGCAGAAACTGCGGTGTGAAGGATGTTACGATTACCATCAACTCTTTCACTGACGATAATTTGTTGCGAAACAGATTCTTTTTCCAATGAGGCTAATGTTAATCTGACAAAGTCAGGATCACTTCTTAATATAGCAGGAGTTAATATTTGATTTTCCAAGGCCAGAGCAATAACTGCGATCTGGTTCTTTTGATTAGGTACAGTATCTTTGATTGGACTGATGCCAATTCCAATAGCTTGAGCAGGAGCCATGTCCAGAGTGATTGGCTCTCGGATAGATTCAGTACAATCTTTGGCAAGAGGATATAAAGCACCATTCCCGTCACGAAGGATTGTTATCGTCTCGTTTTCACCATAACAATATAAAGAGATCAAAGATTGATTTTGTCCAAAAAACGAGCTTGGGTCCGTAGGAAACACACAATCTTGTTCAATTTTACCGGAAGCTACTCCATAAACTACATAGCTCAACTTGGTACCAGCTCGGACGATAGCGTGAACTCCTTGATTAGAGACGGTCATTTTTATGAGTTGAATACCTTCAGGAATATTAACTCTTTTGGGTGACTTTTGGAAACACTCGGTGATTCGAGGTGAGTTACTACCCTTAACAACTTGTAGTTCATCTTTTCGGAGTAATCGACACTCTTGAAGAAGTGAATTTAAATCAGCATTGTCTTGTAAATTAGAACCAAGATCTTTACAATTGAATCTAACACAGGCATAAGATCCATCGATTTTGATGACACGACCGATGGGAACATTCTTGAAATCTTCAATAAACACAACATCTTTGATTTTCCATATTTCTTCATCTTTACGGTCTTCATCCTTGAAAGAGGATGATGTATTGGCGATTCTTTTACTTCGTTTAGGTAATGGACTAGCGCCTGGTTCAGAACAGGTCGAAGAAGCTGGTGATGGAGGTGGTGGCATTTCTAATCTCTCTTGTGATGAGGATTTCGAGAAGCTTGGACTTGGAGGTTGACCAAGATCCATTCTGCTACAACTACTGGCAGGAGTAGAAGGTAAACTTTGTGTTGAGAGGCACAACTTTTTCACCTCTGAAGGGCCAAGAACCTTGAAAGTACAAGTATCTGTGATGCTCCAAGCTGATGTAAGAAGTTGTCCAACTTTGGGTATGCCTCCGGCAGTTGTAAAGCCAAGGGCTCCTGCATGATAAGATGGACTATTACGCATGCAAACAAGTGCACCAGTTGTAATGTCCGAGCTAATGGATGAAGGTGAACGTTGTTTCTTTGCTTTGGTCTTTGTCTTTTCCCACATCTTTTTACGATGAGAAAATGGTGCAATGCCCCACCAAAAGAGTGATCCATTGTCAAGGCGAACGCAGGAGTACAATGAACAAACATGTAATGATAAAATTTTCTCACTCATTTGGAAGTCAGAGAAAAAATTATTTGCAGGATGTTCTAATTTAGAGGCAACAGGAACAATGCTTTCATCAATCCAAGTAGCAATTTTCATCGATTCAGTCAGAACTGAGGCTCTTATACAGGCACCAGAAATTTGGTTGATCTTCTCATTCAATAATCCCAAACTCACTGTTTTGGGATGATAAACAGTCATATTATCACTCGTTTGTCCACGGAATGGTTCGGGTTCACTCCACTTCCATTGGAATAGTTGACCAGTGTTGCTTATTGCAGCTAACTCTGAATAGAGGCCAATGATTTGAATAAATTTACGATTCTCTGGAGCGGGCCAATATTCAAGAGTATCAGAGATGAAAAAAGGGTTTAACTGCGGACTATTGTCATTGCGTTTTCTGGATGGATTGTTCCCACTTTCATTGATCACATTGTTTGATGAATTTTTGTTGGACTCAGACGCAGAAGCAGAATCTCTGAGTGCATACTCTAACCATCGTCGAGATGAAGGTGGACCACTTGAGCTACTTCCTGCAGTGACAAATTGTCTATCTGATCCATAACGAATCAAATGTTCTCTTTCAGGGGCAGATGATTCACGTTCCCTGTCCCCACCCGATGAGGCACGACCCAGTCTATTTCCACTGGGACGAACTCTAACAGATGAGTAGGAGAACATATCTTCTGGAAATACTGCATCAGAATCTATGATTACACCAGGATGGTCATTGTGAATACCAGCATCGAGTAGTGACATGAGATCGTCATTTGGTAAGTAAGAGTCTTGACTATCATCCATATCTTCAGCATCTTCATCGTCACGACTTAATAAATTGTTCACAGCAAGATTAACATCTAAATTTGTCCTTTGAAGCTCTCTGATTATTAAATTGCGAGATTTCCCTTGAAGAACAACCTGAGCTTGAGAAATCAGCTCCTCTGGGACAAATTGTGCTGCAACCACTGGTCGACTACCCATAATGACACTAGATGAACCACGTCCACGAGCTGTATTCGATGCCCTGAGAAGTCTACCTCGACGTGCATTTAAACGATTTGAAGATAATGAGTTAACATTTGAACTGTTATTTCCTTTGATGTTTGAGCTACTACAAGTGAAATGACCATAGAATAAAATATAAGAATGAAAATGAAGAAAAAAAAAATATTAAAAACCGAGACAGTTAAGATAGTTAAAATAGCAAAATAGAAGAGATAAAATGGCGATTCAATTCATTGTACATGATTGGATGGGGGAAGCTTACGTTTTTGATGGTTCTGATGTGGAAAGATCTAGTCTATCTGACATGAGGGAATAGCTCACTCTGCAAATACGACCATCCTGTAACAAAAGAAGGGAAAAAAGATGATGAAAACGGGAAAATGAAGAGAGAAAAAGAGAGAATTAGAATGAGACAAGCATCATTTTCTTAATATTATTGAACTAGAAGAGCTTGAAAAGGGGAGAGATTATCATGGTAGATATAGAATTGAATAGGATCATGAGATCAACATGGCTACTACAGTTATGCCTAATTGAGACCAGAGGCTATTAAGCCACCTATTAATAAAAAGTAAACTTGATTCCTTTTGGTCATTAAAACCTGAATGGGTTTGGTGAAAGAGATGCTTTGGTTAGGTGATTGAGGTGCCATTAATCAAATAGAAAAAAGTATCTCTCGCTAAATGGAAAACCAGGGTCATCTCTTTAAAATTAAATTGTTGATTTAAGTCTTTCAAGGGAAGGACTAGAATAGGGAAAAGATTTAAGATAATTAAAGCCCATTATAATACCTCTAATAAGAGTGCAATGTGTGATTGTGAGACAACACATTCAACCACAGGAACTGTTTTAATTTGATTAAATACTGTTGGACAACAGGTTGATGAGGTTATACCTCGATTATATTTATCAGCCATTTCCTTAAGCCTGTAGAACAAATAAATAGAATTAAAAAGAGAATTAGAAATATGTTGCAAAAATGAAGAAACATAGGCGATGGTAGAAAGAATGTAAAAATATAACAACAATAAAGAAGGGGAGAAGATAGAGAAAGAGAAAAAGATGGAAGTATTAAAAGCAAGGAACAAACAAAGGTCTCTTGTTTATTCACAATGACCCAAGAGATTATTTGACCAATTCATCTGGTAATGAGGCATTTTAAGGATAATCAAGGTAACAATCGAAATAAACATAAATACCTTTCATTGATTTGATCATCATTAGCAGGCAAAGGGTATAATACAAAGTGCATTGACGTAGACATGGCTGAATCTTCCAGTTTGATTCGCAATATTTTTTTCTCTCCTCTTCAACTGTAATAAAATATTAATAGAGGATTGAGATAAGTGTGAGGTGACACACACAAAATTAGATTTGGTTTGATCTTTTCCTTTTTGTCTCAAAAGTGAACACACATACACAACAAAGAAGCTTAATTAGCAAGAGAGAGAAAATGATTTGGCCAAGCCAAACCAACTAATAAACACAGAGAGGGAGAGAGATAGAGGAGAGGAGAGAGAGAGAGAGAGTGGATTAAATATTTGTTTCTTTCTCTCTCTTTTTTTTTCTTCTTCTCTTACTATCTCTCTCTTATTTCTTAAAATGAAGAGATGATTGAGTATCAAAGTAATAAGACAAAAACAGGAAGGTGGTGTAGAAAGAGAAGCTAAAATAAAGAAAGAGAAAGAGAGATAGAGATAGAAGAAAAAGAGAAAATGTAGAAATGTTGTAAGAGAACACAGATTATTCCTTATAAATTAATATTATTTTTTTTCCAAAGAAGGAAGAATTTGTATCAAAAATAAAGGAGAAAACACCAAAGGGAAAGAAAAAAAGACAAAGAAAAAAATATCACATAATTACTAAAATTGAACTCACAACAAAAAGGTAAATGAGGCAAATGTTTTTCTTCTGCATTTGTTTTGACACTGATTTGGGTTTTCTCTTTCTCTTTTTCTCTCTTTTCTGGTGAACAGAAATTCAACTGCGCAATTACCTTTTCGCAATAACAAACTTGATCGACAATTTCGCTAATCAGCTAATCAACTGGTCAACAATTTGGAATTACAATTAACAATTAACAGTGTTCACTTAATATTCGCAATCAACTGGACATCATGTTTTCTTTAGAATTTGGTTCAGTTTCTTCTTCCTTTCTCTTTGTGTTTTCTTTGTTTTCTTTTTTCATTGGAGAATTTCAATTGTTTATGATTAATTATTTTTCCATTTCTTTTTGTTGATTATCATTCAATCTTTTGTTTCATTTTAATTTAAATTCTTCTTTTTCTTCTATTCTTATTCACCCTGTGGCTTTAATCTGTTAAATTGTTTTAAAGTTTTACTCTAGAATTTAATTCAAATATTGTTTCTCTTCTTCTCTATTTTGATTGAGAATTTATTTTCTATCCGATATTCTGATTAGATTTCTGATTTTATATTGTTTCGTTGTGGATTTGGACTGTTTGGAACTTCTTCTCTTCCAATCTACATGGAAATTGTTCACCATCATCAGCTGAAAATTTGGAAATCAATCATATTAACCTTGAAAAAATTACATCTCTTGGCCTCTTGTTACATATGTAATTTATTGTGTCTCAAAGACTTGAAACTTTGTGGTCATCGTTTCAATTGGAAATCATTTTTTATCCTCTAAAATCAAATTAAATCAACCATCTAGTTGCTTATCAGATTAAGAATCTAAAATTTTACAACTGAAAAAAAAATTATTACTCTGATTAATCAAATTGATTTCAAATCAATGATTAATTAAGATTAAAAAAAAAAGTAATCGCTTCAAGGCTAAAGGATTGAAGTCCGTTCTTTGACTTGAAAGATTAACAATTTACTTATCTCTGGTTAATCTATCCATTAAATCTGACCAGTGGCACTCAGATTAATTGCTAGTTAATCGACTTGCGATAAACAATTTAAGTGAAGAAAAAAAATCTCCATTTCCCAAGAATTTTAAATTGAGCGCATTTAACTTTCTGATGGAAAAGATTAACGTAACCATGGTAACGATCACCAACAGAAGATACAAATAAGTTGAACATTTCCGATTTCCGTTTAGTTTAAATTGATAGTTACGTTTAAGTGACAACTAATTTGCTCTTTCTCTTTCTCTCTCTTCCTTTTATCTTCCTTGTAAAGAAATTCTTCTCTTCTTGTTTCCCATCATCTTTCTACCTTAATTTATTTGTCATCACCTAACAACCTTTTTTGTTAACCTTTTTAATTTTGTTAAATTTTCAATTTTCTTTATTTATCAAATCGTTTCCCTTTATCTTAATTGAACATCATGCGTATTTACAAGGATATTCTCACTGGTGATGAAATGTTCACCGATTCATCTAAAATCAATTTAGTTGATGATTGTCTCTATGAGGTTGTTTGCCAACATGTTACACGTAAAGATGGTGATATCGTCCTTGCGGGATCCAATCCATCCGCTGAAGAGGCTGATGAAGGAACTGATGATGCAATTACTTCGGGTCTTGATTTAGTTCTCAACCAACGATTGGTTGAAACTTCTTTCAACAAGGCTGATTATATGAATTATCTTAAAGGCTACACCAAGTCTCTTGCTGACAAATGGAAGGAAGAAGGTAAATCTGATGAAGAAATTGCCGAGGCCAAGGTTAAATTGACTGAGGCTGTCAAAAAGATTCGACCTCGTCTTAGTGAAGTTTCTTACTACATGGGAGAAAGTGCCAATCCCGATGGTATGGTTGCTCTTCTTGACTATCGTGATAATCCTGATGGTTCAGGAGAAACCGCTTATATGCTTTTCTTCAAGCACGGACTTGAAGAGGAAAAAGTTTAATCCCACCTATTGATGAACACACACCCACGCTGATTAATCTCTCATTAATTTGCTAATTGAATCAAGAGAATATCAGTTTTGTTTAACAGATGAATAAATTACAATCTTGAAAAAATAAATCAATTTCTTTCTCAATTTTATCGTCGCGTTATTCACATTGAGATCGGTAAATTGTTCAAACATTGGTTATGTTTAATTACAGGAAAGGTGGCAAAGAAAATGGAATACAAAATTGGTAAAATTGGTCAAATTCCACATTTCTTTCATTTGAGAATTTAAATCAATTGATTAAATCAAACTAGGGTTTTGTTGGAGTTCCTTCTTGGTACATCGGTTCATCGGCCCTTGAAATGTCTTTTCTTTGATCTAAAGATTCACTTTCAAAAAGAGCTTTCCAATTATCAAGTTTCTCATAAATTCGTGCACAAGTTGCGTCTTTTCTCCTTATTTCTGATTCCATTTCAGCAATTTCTTCTTTAATTAACTCGTTCGGATCTAAATGGCCGAAAATTGTTCTCCACCGAACAAAGTAAAGTTCCATAGCTCGAGCATGATCTGCAAACTTAGGAACCGAATGTTCCGAAGCAGCTCTGTAGGTTTCAACATTAGGATTCGGTGTATTCTCATAATCACATCGAAGCGGAGCAAATAGATCAATAAACGATCGGTGTAGTTCATCAAAAAGATCAGTAGATTGTCCAGCATTCGGTCCACCAGAAGCTTGATTAGTATTCATGTTGACGTTATTTGACATGACACATAAGAAATAAGAAAAAAATAAAATCAACAAAGACAATTAAGTCAACTGAATCCAGAGAAAGTCTCAACAGTTCAACTATCTATTGGTTGAATAAAATCGCACGACAGTTAATTAACTCATAATAATTGATGAATTTTATGAACAATTAAAAAACTGTTTTCAAAAGTAAATTGAAAACCATTAAAGAGACAAAAGTGTCAGCTGATTGGCTGAAAAAACAAAATAAAGAAAAAAGCGCCAAGTATAAAATAATTTCTTCTAACAATTAATCTGGAAACGAATTGAAAATTCAACTAATCAAGTTATTATTTTGTAATTGAACACTTTTCACGAGAAAATTTTACATCAATAAGTTTAAAAACTCCAGCTAGTTAAATGGAATAAAATGTTAATTATTATGAAGAAAGGGATTAGAAAAATATACAAAGAGAAGAAAATTAAATGTTATTAGAAAATAAAATAATTTTCGACGAAAGATACAATTGAATTTCTGTTTCAATTAGATTGTTATACAAGTTAAAATGAGTGAAAATAAGATGATTAAAGTAAATTGGCGAGAAAACATAGAATAAGATTGTCCTGATCATTGGCCATTTATTGAAATCTTAATTGGATCATGGATAAAATTGATTGTTTGCTTGTTTCAATCACTTTGAGAGATAAAAATATTGTTCATTGAATTGAAAAAGATATTACAAAGATTAGACTAGAAATAGAGAAACTAGAAAATGATAAGTTGATTGGGAAAAGTTGCTGTTAATTTCTTAGCAAATTACAATCATAAACTAAATAAGTTTCAAAGTTCATTGGATTACATGATAAAAATATATAGAAAGATACATTAGATAATCAATTTGGTTCTAATATGCATGTAAAATATTTGGGCTTTGATAATTATGAACAAAATAGTTGAGTTTATGAATTAACTGATTGTGATAACAATTATCAGTTTAATCCAAAAGTTTGATTATTTTCGAGGCACTTTTTGTGAATGACTTTGTCATCTTGAATTGAAACGAAGATGATGATGATTAATTTTTGTGAAGATGATGAATTCATGAAGATTATGTTGACTGATTATGAAGATGATAAAAAGTTATAAGTTTAAAAAGATCAAATTACGAAGAGAGTAAATCTAATTTCCAGCAGGCGAATTTAAATGAAAATAAATGATTTCTTTTCGCTTCCTAATTTCATGAGTTGTTGTTCGTGGTGAAACTTTTCCCACCAGAATTTATTGTTGTTGTTGCCGAAACATAAGTTATTGGTCCATTTGATGATCTATTCAATCTCATGCATGAGGAATCTTCGTGCTTGTAAAGGTAGCTTTTTAATGTGAAGGCTTTTCCACAGCGTTGACAAACGTACGGTTTGATATTAGAATGTGTTTGTATGTGTGCTCGAAGGTTTGATTTGTCCGCAAAAGCCTTTGAACAAGTCGGACATTTGAATGGCCTTTCACCTGAAAGAGAAGTGAAAAAAAAAGATTAATTAGTCAACAAATTGATTAAAAAGAATCAACAACTGACAATGAAAAAAGTTGCAAAAGATTAACTACCTGTATGAGTCCTAATGTGGCCTTGTAAAAGCCACGGGCGACTGAAGCACTTTCCACAATGAGGACAGCGACAGTTTTGCTTGTGTGTCCTAAGGTGCATACTGTAAGCGGGCATGGAGACATAAACTTTACTACAGTGTGGACATTGTCGAGCTTTTTTATCGGTGAAACTGCGATGAGTTTGACGATGACGGGCTAAATTAGATGAAGTTGAATATCGTTTACCACAATCGATGCAAACATGATTATCTCCAATGGCTGGTGATTCGCTATTTCCTGATGATGGATAAATTTCACGAGATTCTGTGAATGGGACATCATGATTTTCCTCGATTTGCTAAAAGAAAAACAAATAAAAAAGGGTTAATTTTCTCATGTAATGATCAACCAAAATTCTCACAAACTTACGTTAAAAATATTCTCATCAACTATTGGATTCGGTGAACATTGTGATTGATCAGATATATAAGGTTCGTCTGAATAATCCATACTTTGATTAGATTCATTTGGAGAAGTCAAGTTCCTTGAGTGGATGGTCAAATCTTCAGCTTCTTCCTGAGTGGAATCAAAACTGTGGTCAGCAATGGCTTTTGTTCCCAAATAGAATCCATTGATTTCAATGTTGTTGTTTTTGGACTCATTGAACTTTTTGTTGATGATTAAATTGAGAGGATGAACTGAGAAATCGGGAGAAAATGATGGATGATGAGGATGCAATTGTTCTGGGGGGAGGAAAGATCGAGAAAAAAATAAAAAGGTTAACATTTATAAATTCAACTGCGAACAACTCAATTAAATTACTCACCAATTAGATGATTGTTTTCACCGATTGAAATGTTACCAAAATGACGAGATAAAGCAGCATGAGTGAGAAGTGAAATCCTTTTACAATTAAGACCAGAGTTGTCCATGGGACTTGATTGACCATTGGAATAATAATTCATACTGCTAATTGTTGTCTTTTCGATGGCGGATAAAGTATTTAGTAAAGATGAAGAACTATCAAAATGTAATCCAGAAGAACCTGTGACAATATAAAACAATGAAAAATAATTAATTGGACTAATCAAAAAGCTATTAAGCTTAAAACGCTTTCGCAACAACATGTTGATTGTTTTTCTGTTGAGATCATCAGTTCAACTCTTTCATTTGTTTTTGTTTTCATTTTAAAGTCACGTGAACTTTTTGCTCTTCAATTAGAATTTGTTTTCATTTCAATTCTGATTCTTCATTTGATCTGAGTTGAGTTTAGTTACTTTCTTTAATTGTTTCATTGGTGTTTTTGAGTTCTTATCTAATTGTGGTGATTCGAGGAATCTAACGGAAATATCACAAGGTAAAGTTGCTCTCTCTCTCTCTCTTTAGTTGTCAATTAAATTTGAATTTACTTCACTCTATTAATGGAAAATGTTTCTTTTTGTCTTCTTTTTTTCCCTTCTCTTTTTTCGTATTCTAGATGATGGACAAAGTCAAGTCTATGGTTTTCTTTAAGACAAATCGTCTTTTAAATGACTACACTCTGTTGAAAAGGGCCAAGGTTGATGAGCAGAAGAGGAAGATGATGTTTGGGCTCTTTCCCCTTCGAGAGGTGATGAGGAGTCTCGTGGATGGGACTTTGTTATGAAAGAAAGGCAGTGGAGAGAGAGAGAGAGAAAGGAGATGAAAATTAAGATGTTGACGATGATGAGGAAGATCATCTACGAAAATATCAAAAACACACAATTAATGGTTTTGTTTGTTTACGAGTCCATTGAAAATTGACTCCTGTCAACCATATGAGATTGAAGATTATATTTACATCTCAAGAGAGAAAGAAAGAAAGAAAAAGGAAAGGGCCAACACGCGTTCGCGTGTCCACCTTCAACAACACATTTCTAGTTAATCAACTTTTGGCTCGTGTCACAGGAAAGTAAAACGAAACAAGATAACTCAAAATGAGAGAGACCAAAGAGGGAGGAAAGGACACATACAGAGCGAAAGGATCTTAAAAGAGGAGATAAAAAGACATGGAGGAAAAGGAGAAAGTCCAAAGAAAAGCCTATCAGTAAAACACTTCCGTTTCGTATTTACTTCTTTCCGCTTCCCTATCACTTGACAAAGATAGACTAGTTGGCCTGTTTTAACCTTCGAACCTAAAGAAATGACCATTGAGAGCAACGACCTTTCAATGAAAATCCGTTACAAAGAAAGGGGTCAAATCTCATCTTCTTTTGACCATAAGGTTACAAGTGTTTCTTTTCCTATGGAAAACCTAAAGATCAACTTATATATATTTTTGCCTGGAAAACAAATCATCTTTAAATTAGCAGAAAATTGATCAACCTGAACATCAACAGATTCACCAACTTTTATCAATTATCACTTTCATCACCACTGATGCTCATGTTTATGATATTTGGGAAAGGAAAAAATATTAACCCAAGAAATTTGTTTATTTACAGAAAAGACCACAGGCCTTTTCGACCTTCACCAACATGCGTCTCCATCTGGGTTGATCAACATTATGTAAATAAATTTCTTCTCGCTAACCGCTTTTGATAAAAGTTCTGCTTCTCCATCATCATCATCATCCTGCATCTTCATCCTCACCATTTTCTTAGCCACTGATGAAACAATAATCAACAAAAAGAATCCATTCCCCTTAAGCTTTAAGACTGAGAGATACTTAAAAAGTGAACCCAGAAAATTATTTCAGGATAACGGGGTAAAATTAAATCGACCGAACCTCAACCAGATCTTTAAAAAGATTGGAAGAGTTTAAAAAAGGTCAAAATTATCTGGTGTAAATTAACGATACAATATGGTTACTATACCTTGACCTGATCATCTTTACTTATCATCCATATCTTCCAGATCTTCCTTGGAGATACTGAACAAGACTGAATACTAATTATCAGTTTCAGCAAAGGGAATCAAACTTATCTAAATGTTTATAAGTCTCGTGGATAATGTAATTATCTTTTCTAATTACAAATTACCTATCACCTATTCTCGTGCCAAATCATTTCCAGGAGACATCGATATCTTTATCTTTCTTCTGGTGAAATAAACTCTCCACGAATCAAGAGAAACTGTAACCATTGGGGAATCATTTCAAATGCTCATTAAAGAGTAATAACAAAAACAAGGAATGAACAACATTAACATGATTTAATGTACAAAGATTTTCGAAGTTGTAAATTTCAACCGAACTCAATCGATCGCATATTAGTGTAACTATTGGCGAAAATATTTCTTAGCTGTTAACCATTAGTACTTATTTTCATCTCTCTCTCTCTCTCTCTTCCAGGTTTACAGAGAAAAAACGAAAATCACACTAACCTACTGCTCGTCCCTTCTCTTCCCAAATGATATCCCAAAAAAGCTCAAATCGACAAGTGAAGAGACATCGTAGCAATTAATGGGATGAGGATAAAAGTAAAACATGAAGATGGTGATGATTAAGTTGCAAGAAAAACAAAATAATTTATTAGGCGAAAGGGGAAAAGGGCCAAAAGTTTGAGGCTATTTTAGCCTCGAACGGTGAGGTTGTTGATGTAATGAAGATAATAATCACTTTTTTACTCTCTCTTTCTCTCTTTCTTCTCTTTCTTTTAATCTCTTTCTCCCACCCTGCAAACCCACCCTTGATTTCGCCCTTGTTCATTATCTCATCTCTCCCTGTATGATATAACTTGGTTACTTTGGCATTAGTCCAGTAACACTAATTCACAGAGTCAAGTTCAAAAAGCAAGTTTCAAATCAAGTTGAGCTTGACTTGTGTATATTAACCTCTAAAATAAGATGACGAGGTTGGTATATTCAGGCCACTCTCTCTCTCTCTATCTTTCACACACATTTATATACACACACTGAGTGAAAGATGAAATAAGCAAAAAGAATCATCATCTTCATTATCATCAACATTCTCTTCCTCCGGAAATGGGTCTTAAGAATAAGCAGACTTCATCTCTCTCTCTCTCTTCTCCTTTCTCTTTCAATCTTTCTCTCTCTTTCTCTCTCTTCTTCTTAAGATCTGTGGAAAAAACTTTTCTCACTTCGTTTTCTTTTTTCTCACTAAAGTTAAATCATTTTGAATCAACTTGGATGCAATTGGATTTACAAACAATACAAATCTCTCCATGTGAAGGTCAAAAAGTTTTCATTTACTTTTCATCTTTGAATCAAAGCCAAAGGAACCACGAAGATCAATTGTTCTATCCCTATGGAAATACACACTAACTTTTCTCGACAAACGTTAATTTCAATGTCAAATTTGATTCTTCTATTATTGTTATGAATCAATTTAATAATCTACAAATTACGTCAATGAAATATGATATCGTTCAACTAGAAGAGATCAAAGCCCTTCCTATGAAGTTTATTTCTTGGGTGATTGAATTAAATCAATCTAATTCATCGCATTAATCAAACTGTTTCCATCATAATTGCATTTTAATTATCTATTTTGCATTCCATTTAAATACATGCAATGACCAATCAATCAGTAATTAAGAACCAATTAAGTTGTAAGACTTACCTTGATTTAAGATGAAACAATTTTCAGCGTCTTCCTTTGAATTGGTTAAAATCCATCTACCGTTGTATCGTTTATTAGTTATTAAAAAAGCTCTCGGCATAATGATTAAGATCAACAGGTAATTAAATTTGTATTTCAGGTAAAATTCACTGATTACGTCGAAAAATAAACTGTTAAATTAAAAATCAACGAGTACAAATGAAACTATAACGAAACGTAAAGAAAAATTAGAACTCGATTAAAGTTGAATAACTTTTCTGTGACTTGGTGGATATCGAAGTCAACAGTTGATAACGACTGAAGAGAAAGAGAAAAAGAGAGTAAGATAATATAAAGATGAAGATGAAGATGAGTGAGTCAAAGATGAGGATGAAAAACTAACTTCGATGGAGAAAAAGGTCTATGGTAGTAAAAATAAAGTTTCGTTAATGAGAAGGCGAAGGAAAGAAGACCCATGGAAGAAAAGAAAGAAAGAGAAGAAAGAAAGAGATGATCTGGAAAGACAAAATGATGAGAGAAAGAAAAGAGAAAAATAGACAGAGAGAGAGAGAGAGAGAGAGAGAGAGAGAGATCAAGTGCAAAAGAAAGAGAAGAGGCAAAAGTTGAGGCAAAGGGTCGTAAAGGGAGAGGCCAAGACGAGAGAGGAGGAGAAAGGTCAGTGCCTACGTTACCTTCCTCTTTGTTTTCATCCTCATCTTCATTATCTACATCATTAGAATCTTCAAAATGATGCGGATGCTGTTGATCTTTTACCTCGCTTGAACATTATGTCTGCATCATGATCCACTCTCTCTCTCTCTCTCTCTTGCATAATTATCATCGTCTTCTCCTCCCCGCCAACAGTTATTTAGAGTTAAAATTGAACTTAAACAAATACCATCGCCTAGGACAGTTTGCGGTTCCTCGAAGGGGCAACAAATGATTTCGCATATGATATAAGGTTTGTTGTTATAAATTGAATGAAATTGTTGCCTATTAACTTTATCATCTTATCTTCTTGCTCATCTTCATCTCTCTCCCACTTTTGTTTCTTCCTCCTCGAGATCATCTTAACTCTCCCCTGTTATCCCATTCGAGGCCATTGAAATGTATCCGGACACGCGACAAGTTAATAGTTTTCTCCCTCTTCCTTTTTACATGCCTCATTTCTAACCTTTGACCTCAACTTACAACCTTTACTATCATTTCTGCTCTCAGTCTTCAATCTCAGTGCTCATTTGACCTCAAACCATGTGTCCTAACTTTCATCTCTCGTTAATTATTAATAAACTTTTGTCGTCTTCATATAAACATTTCAATTGTTTTGAATCTTTCAATTGATCAACTAATTGATTTAATTTATACAAGTTTCAATAGCAAATTCCTTTAATATCGATTAATTGTTGACAAGTTTAAACTAATTCGTTGATTACAAATACAATAACAATGATTAATATAAAAGATAAAAAATTTATCGAACCAGAAAAAAAAGAGATTAATCTGAATTAGATAAAACTAATTCTTAAAATTAATCAAAGGCTCTAATTAAGTATGAGTATTGGTGATGAGAAATCCAAAGTAATACTTTTTGTTTCAAGATCAATTTCTTAATCCACTTCGATGGATTAAAAATTCAATATGAATAGAAAGTTACATATGTCCATCAATTGGTCAGTCTTCCTCTTCTCCTTCAATTGATTTAAGAGCGAAATGCGCTCGCACGTGGACAATTAACTCTGCTGGATATTTACTGTATCCATTTGCTTTCTTCATCCAATCTCGAGCATCTTGATGTTTTTCATTTCGATATAAGAACAACCGAGTTCGAGTGATGCACATGGAAGGAGAAAATGATTCGATGAAATGTCCTCTTGATGGTCAAATATCTTCAATAGAATCGATTCCGATTCTTCTAGTTTATTGAGATGCCGTAAACAAACACCCTTCAGCAGTAGTAATAGACAGTAATCATCGATTGAATCTTTATCAACTGCAAAACAATTAGAAAGTAATCAATTAGCTGACCAGTGAGAAATTGGTTCTATGCTCGATGTTACCTTTTTTACCAAATTGTTTTAATTGTTCATCTAATTTCATTGCAATTGGTTCAATCAGATTCGGTGTATTGATGATTGAGAAAACATTCCAAATGTAAAAAATTTCCTGTAAATCAAAAGTAATTAGTGGAAAGTTTTGAATAAAATCAATCACGATTACAATTAGAAAATTGAACATACAAAAGCGGGTGCGAACATTTTTCCTCCATTTTTCATATACTTTTCCGCCATTCGAACGGCAAATTTTTCCCGAGGTGTACTTTTACCTGCGAATCGCCTCTTTAATCCAGGTACTTCCCTAATTCAATCAGAAATTGGGTTAATTAATAATATTATGATTAGATGGACCAATTACTCACTTAATTGCGGCCGTTATTTTGGGTGTCAACGATTCATCTTTGGTCTCTTCCCTCAACATATACAAATAGACTGCGTATTGATAAGTGAATGCACAGGGTGACCAAAGACTCTCCGTTCTCATTTTATCAGCATATTCCGCCGCTTTTGACCAATTGCATTGAATTCTAATAATAAAGATGTAACAACGGGAATTTCAATCAAATTGTTGACTTCAATTGGTATAAATTGATTGTAACTTACGCATAAACCCACATGATCTCCCAATTGCAAGCATTGTGTAACTGTTTCCATTCATCTTGTATCTTAATTGCTTCGTTAAATGATTTGATTGCTTCGTTACACTGACCTTTCAATTGGTACAATTTCCCTCTGAACAAAGGTAAGAATACACTCTATGAGATTGTAAGAGAATCGACAAACATTAGTTAACTCAGAGTAAATTCGTCATTAGATTGTTACCTCTGGACAGGATCTCTCTTGTCTATTGAGTAAATTTTCAATTCTGTCTAAATCCTTGTTCCCAGATCCAATCATTGTTTCTATGTAACAAAAGTTAATTAGAAGCAAAATCATGGCGAATGTGCTTCTTCCAGTTCCTTCTAATTCGGCTGCGGCAGTTAATTCGTTAATCCCAATGTCTCGATCTCCAGAGAAGCCCATAAACTCGAGGACTCGCAATACACATTGAGGTGACATCGAAAGTGCCTGTTAGTTAATCAACCAAATTAATTGTGAGAAACATTCAATCCACTGAACAGAACATTGTAACAATTACCAAATTGTAGATTCCAGTTCCAGCATGAACTCCAGATTGAAATTCACGTCGAGTTGTTTCCGATTCCCATTTGGTCCTTTTTTGGATAATATTTTGACAAACCCTACAAATTTACAGTTAAAAATCAATTTATCAGTATGTTTACAATCACAATCAACTAATTGTTACTTACTTGTAAGATTGATAACCATAGCGGAAGCGACATGCACCCTTAATCAAACTTATGAAACTTTGATCTTGAACGAAAGTGATTAAGGCCAACATGAAAACCGAATCTGCGTAAGCCAATTCCGCGTGAATTTCCTCTGTTCATTTAAATAAAGTTAATTAATTCAATTAGTATGATAAAATCTTCGCATTGTTAATTACCTTCAGTGTAAGTATCATAATCCGTTCGTCTGAGATAATCCATCCAAGAGTAAGATCTTTTTCTAGCTGAGCTTAAATCGACTGATTTTTTAAGCGCTTCAATGGCAGATTCAATTTCTGGCTTTGGTGCAAACAAAATTAACAATTACAATTCTAACTAACAATTAGCCTCTGTTTGAAAATCAACATAATTATCAGTCTCGATTTACAATGTTACATCAACCTTGATTGTTTCCCAATCACTGATTGTGTTGAAAGCGAGAAGATAATCAAATTGCTCAATCTATTGGTCATCATAATTTGATTAACTAATTCCTGATATTATTAATATAATAATTGTGCTCGAGAGTGTGAGATGAAACCTTGAGAAAGATCCAGACAATTGGAGTGCAAATTGAATTTAAAGTTAATCAGGAAGTCATAAGATCTGATTAAGGTAATAATCATAATCTTGATCATCACAATTTGATAAAAATTTATCATTGAGAAAATGTTAAATATTATCATGAATAAATTGATCCATAATTTAAGTATACAAAATTTAACCTCGACAATTGAAGGTAAATTAATTTCCAATAACAAATTACAATGATACAAACTAACACTTAATGTTAATACTAAATGAATAAAGAAAAAATTAATCAAAATGACTAGACAATAATCAATTTTAACCAAGTAAATTAACAATAATCACCTGAAATTATATTCTCAGCATGATAATATTACTAATGTTACTGAATCAAAAGTCAAGGGTTTTCAATGCAACGATAACTAAACTAATTAAACTGATATTAAAAGTAAAAAACTAATGATTACTAACAAAATGATCGTGTAAATGAAATTAGCAATTAACTAATTGTGACAAACCTTTTCAAATGTCATCCAAGCTCGAAGCCAGGACATGGTCCCATAAGAGAGGGTCAGGTAGAGATGTTGTTCACTTCCTTGTTTGCATATTTCGAGTGCTCGATCAAACTGATTAACGAAAAACAATTTAGCTGCTTCGATGACCTGGACGATTTGTCCGTTAATTGAGTAATCGCCAATCGAGTCGTTAGCATCTTCGTATTCATCATTTTCATCATTTTCCATAACCAATGAGAGTTTCTTCAAATCATCACTAATAACCTTGGATTCAACATTCTAATGATGAAATAAATGTAAACAAAAACAAAGAGAAGAACAGAAAAAAAAACAATTGAATCAATAACATGGAAAAGTAAACAATTTAAATCACAATAAACTTGACGAATACTAACCTCCTTTAAAGTCATTTTTCTACAATCCGATTGTAATTGTTGGAGAGAAATTAAATTGTAAACAATTAACTTGATGTTTTCTCACCGACTAACCAACAACAACTGATTCGGTTTCACATTCAATTCAATTTGGTTGTGTCTCTTTACCATCTAAACCAGATGAAAATCACACACACTCTCACTTATCAAATGTTGTGAGAATGATTAGTTGATCAATTGACAATCAAATGAAGTAATTTAAGCACAATTAATACACTGATGATTTAACTTACACTCTGTTGCTACCGTTAAGGTTGTTTGATTGTTGATTTGCCTTCAGCATCTCATATGTGATGACGACAATCAACTTATTATTATTATAATTCTGATAGAATATCATTTTTCCAACTCTCCTTCAGTTCGTTAATTAACTTAACTTGATTCGACTCACAATCAACAGGAATAATATAAAAATAAAACTCGATTCAATCTTGCTTGATAAAAAAGATACACCAAGAGGAGGGAATTAAATTAACTCGTCTAACTACAATTTAAGTCTTCTCAATGACTTTCAATCACAATCAACTTTTTTCTTTCAATTTATTCAATGAAACCTTTGGAAACAAAAACAATTTGATTAGAATCAGTTAATCAATATCATTTTCGTGATGAGAAATCGTTGATTGGTCAACCAACGTTAACGTGATTTTGATTAACGATCAAGATGTTTAATCAATTAACTGTTTCTTTTTGAATTATTAATTATTAAAATAATATTAAGATCGATTTGCTTGATTGTGATTAGATTAATAAATCATCATTTATAAAACATGTTTAACTGTTGGTGTTTAATTGTTGGGTTTTTTTTTGCTTGATTTTGATCACCACACAACCGCAGATACAATTTGCTGATAATTAATTAACTTGTTTAAATGGTAAGAAGATGATAATGAGAACTTTTGAGTTGATTAATTGATTGTAATTGTTGATACAATATAATTTGATTGATTGTTTCTGAAAATAAAGGATTATTACAATTGTTGATTTGGTCAGTATTGATTTTTTTGATGAAAATCGTTCATCATTTACCTTGATTTAAATTACAAAATCAAGGGATAAAATTATTTTCAGTTTAAACTGTTTGGCAAATGAACAATCAACGAGATACAATGATTAATTATCATAATTAAACTAAATTTACATAATATGATATTGATTGATGTAATTAAGAAGAGTCAATTTTCATGTGTCAATTTTCAATTAAATTAACTGGATTAAAATGAGACTAAAACAATGAAAGATCAAATTTACAACTTTGATTGAATTAAATGTAAATGACAATTAAATAAACAGAAATAATCAAATAATAAAAGTAGATCTGTGAATCCGTTTGTTCGTGTGATTAAAACTAAATCAATTAAATTTTCAATCCGATTAAACATTTTGTCCTTTTCTTGTGTAGTTGATTATGTAATTGGATTGACTAGCAAGGCTCTGACTAGATTACAGAATGTAAATCCAACGGTAAATGATTGATTAACCATTGAATTAGTCTTTAAATGCTCATTTGATCAACGGAATCAGAAACAAAATTAACGGGAAAAAATTAACAATAAACACATGTAAGATCAACACTTCCACATCAACTGATTTGACTTGCAAATCACAATCAGGGTAAATCTTTTAGATTCAAGAATCAGTTATCATGAAATTGGCACTCAAATGATATAATTTATACAAATGATTAAGAAGCTCGTCCGTTACAGTGTAATCATTTTTCTGGTTCCTTGATTTGTCCCCTGGTTGTTTTGTTATTAGATTTCCATCAGAAATGATTAATATAAATTTAGATCAATTGGTTGAACTATTTTGGTTTCGTTCGTTTTGGTGGTTCTACCAAACTTCACATTTATCTTCTGGATTCATGGGGCTGCCTAATGGACAATTGAATGTCTCCGAAAACTCCTTTGAATTACTGAGTGTTCCAATAACACGGAATCGATGAGGACTGTGAGGATCGTTGAGAACTTGAAGTTTCAATGCCTCTGGAGTTGCAACGAAACACCAAACTTGGGCGAATCGGACAAAAAATATCTTTTTACTGGACATGTTGACCCCTGGTAGAGCGGGTTCAACATTGCTTATTGCCCAATCTTCGTAGGCCTGGAATGGAAAAGAAATAAACGATTGATATCATTCAAATTAGAGTAGAAAATATAAATCAACCAACATGAAATGCTGCTTTAAGTCCTCCATTGTCCGCTAAATTTTCACCAAGAGTTCGCTCTCCGTTAATCTACATGGAAGAGCAAAAAGTTATGATAATGATAAATATCCAAAGGTCAAGTAATTTATTTATGTTCTTACATGGTCACCGTTTATTTCGTAAGATGAGTATTGTTTAACGAAACAATCAACACGTTGCTCGAAATTTTTGATTGTACTATTGTTCCACCATTGATGAAGATTTCCATATTTGTCGTACCTTCGACCTCTATCATCGAAAGCATGAGTTAATTCGTGTCCCATCACAACTCCCATCGCTCCAAAATTAACCGATTTTGGATAATTAACATCATAAAATGGAGCTTGAAGTATTCCAGCGGGAAATACTAAAAGTGAAAGAATAAAAGTTAATATTAATTTGAAAAGAATATCCAATCAATTAGATTATACCCATAGTGTCTTTCGTTGGTGTATAATAGGCGTTAACGGTGGACGGTGTCATTTCCCATTCGGTTTTATTAGCTGGTCTCATTATTTTTTCCATGTTCTTTTTTAAAGCAAATTTGTTGACCTTAAGATTATTTTGAAAATATTCGTCTTCGGTAAATTCGAGCTAAAAACGAAACATGAAATAACATAAAAAAGTGACCTCACAAAATTGTAGCATAAAAATGAGCCAAAGTGAACTTACTCCCTCATATTTTTCATTTAGTTTCGTTGAATTAAGGATAAAATCAGGGAATCCAATCATCTTGGTAATAGCATCAGCCTGTCAACGAATTGAAAAGTTTTGTTAAAACTCAGATAAATATCGGAATTGGATTAGTTTGTTTTACTTTTTCTTTTGCAAGTTTTCTTGTCTCAGTGTCCATCCAACGGAGATTAGGAAGATTATCTTCAAAGGCTTTTCTTATTTGTTCAATCATCGCCTCAGCAACTGGTTTAGATTCACCTCGAAACACTGATTTAACGAACATGGCACCAAGAGCGAACCCCATGAATCCATTGGTATCGGTAACACAATATCGCCACGAAGATTCAATCCCTTCAGAACCTGAGAATGGAAACAAATAGAAAAATGAATCAATTGAGCAAAGAAAAAAAAAGTAATTTAATCTCTCAATTCTTACCTATCAATGCCTTTCTTAAGATTTTTGAAGCTTCTCTAAAAGGCTTAGAAAGACATGAGATGAGCGTTTGAACAACAGACCAACTCATGTAATTAGCGAGAACACTAAATGAATAGGAAAAAAAATACACGAAATTAATACTTTGATGAAAGTTTTCTTGTTGATTTAGATAATAATCAGTCTGCTAATAAGAAATAATCAAGAGGTAATTGGGTTTGATGATCTGTCATAAACAATTGCCATTGATTCTTAATGTTGAAGATTAAATATCAACTAATCCTTGCAAAGATTATTGATTGAGAAGATGGAGAAGAAAAAATCAAATAAATTGATTGATATTAACAATTTACCTTCGTTTCTCGTCTGTCTTGTTATATTCAATAATGAGCTTAGATAATTGTTCGAGATATTCAATTGAATAAACTCCAATCAGTTCGTTGTCGGTGATTTCATAATCGATTTGATCAAAGGCATCTTTAAAATAATTAGTCCAATTAATTGCTGGTGCGGCTTTTTGAAGATCTGCTATAGTGATTCTTTGGTACATTTTATCATCATCAGTACGATCCTCTGATGGTATAGTTATCTGAATTCAATAGATGAAGATAATATCATTCAATAGGCTTATAATTAAATTCATACTGAATTTTGATCAAGCAATCAACATTATTATAAATTTTTCATGTGAAATAAATGATATTAAGAAATGAGATGATAATGAACTTTGCAATTCATTAATCAATCATCACTAACTCTAATAATAATAGTAGTACAATTGATCAATGGTTATTAAATTTAACAATGAGGGATAAATATAAAAACGATTGATGTATTTGTTGTAAGCTGAATGAAAGTTGAGTTCACTTAATCAACTTTCTCTATGGATGTTGATTGATTAATTTGATGATTAAGGTTGCGGGTGAAATATGGTTGATAATACTAATGTTAATTTACCTCAGCAAGACGAGTTTCAAATTCAAGTAAATCATCAACTTGTTTAACAACATCGCTCTCATTTCCTCCCAAAAGTACAGCTACTTTAACGGTAAATGATTTGAATGCTTGTAAAACCTCATCATCAGCTGATTTGTTAAGATAATAATCACGACTTGGTAACGATAATCCTCCTTGATCTAATTGAATAATGTTGTTACTTGAATTCTTAGCATCCGCCCCAACAGCCCATGAAAAGAAACCACCTCTGTTGTATTGATTGTGAGCAACCTGTAAATATTTCTGAAAATCCCATGAAGCTGCATCAAAGCCAGAATTCATATTCCAACCACCAATCTGTTAACAATAAAAAAAACAAGATACTTAAATATAACATCATTTTGTCAATGTGATTTAAATTGTTCATCAATCAACAAAATAACTTCAAGTTTCCATGTGAATTGTAACAAGGACAATGAAAACAGAATCAATTGATTGCCAAAAAAAAAGATGATTGTGATTTTATCACATGTCTAAGAATTAAATTGTGTTACGAAACAATTATAATCCATGTTAGTTGATTACTATTCAATTCAATTGGATTGAATAACAAAAATCAATTAGAATCTAAAATATCTGAACCAAGTTGAATTCTGGTTAGAATCTGATTTCTATTATCATTATTGAAATTTATATAGAGAAATCAATTGATTTGATATCAATTAATGGATTGAATTAATATCAAGTACAATAGTTAATCCAAATTATGATTAGTTGCAATTAGCAAAATATCAACAATAAAGATTGGAACAGATTAATTAGGTTAATTGTTTTGACATTAATCACCATGAAAAATGATTTCCATTCATATATATTAAATAAATAATAAAAGGTAAATGCTCAGTCATAATTTGATAATAAAATTGATAATCATTTAGCTTAATTGTTTTGATTATGAGAAAACAATTTATGGTAAATAAACAAATTGATGAGGAAATTATATTACATGTATTAACTTGTAAATATAACTTGGGAACTTTTTCTCACAGAAATTGAATGCGAATAACCAATTACTATGAACAAATTGCTCGAGGCAATTTAACAACAAATAAGATCGGAGCTAAATTGTTTTGATTATTGATTAATAGGGAATATAAACTTACTTGTTTTAAAAAATCTTGCATCGGTTTTGGTCCAAGTTTCTCGATAGTTTCGTTCTTATCCAAACAAGATCGATAATAGACTCGAGATTTTTCCTCGGCTTTACTTTGATTAGTACTATTATCTTGCTCTGAGAAAAACATATGAAACAATTAACAAGATAAAATGTAGATTAATGTTTATCCTTAAATCCATCAATTCCTCATGAGATAAAACTCAAAGTTACTGATTCATAATGGGAACAATATTGCTGAATAACACGGAAACGTAATTCTGGTTATCATTTATTCATGTTATTTAAATGCTCTTCAGGATAATGAATCTCTTTTTTTAGATTCAATAACATGTGAAAGTGAATGAAAAACAAAAACGTCAACAACAACAACAACTTTGCAAAACACTTTGAATGTTTCATGATGAAATAATGATATTGATCATGTATTGAAGCAGAAATAAGATTAGTGAATATTGTAAATGATTAGTTAATCCTCTTACCTAAAACAGTTTTCATAACATATTGATTATCTTGCCATAATTTAGCAAATGGACCCCAAATAGATTTTCCATCTGGGAGTGGATTAGATTCCACCCAACCACCACAAGAATATGAATAAAAATCTTCACATGGATCTTTACTTGTATCCATTGAGTTGATTATGGTACTTGCTATACTTATACACTCTTTGGATACACAAAGATCTGGGGGGGAGAGAGAAGAGGAAACAATTAATAAATAGATTGCAAGATTAACTGAGAATGAGAACTTACCATTATCGATTTGTTTTGATTTCTCTGAATGGCCATAACTATGAATGAGAAGGATTAATAAGATGAGTGAAAAAAGTGTTATTATTGTTACAGAGATGATTAAAAATCGTTCCAATGGCGATGCTCGATCCCAAAAGGTTCGACGTCGAGATCGACCTTTGTTTATCATAACAGAGGGTTGACCTTGTCCGTTGCCGAATTTACTGCTCGGTGAATTGGGTGAATTTGAACTATTGGGATCCAGAGCGACGGTCGATGATGACGATTGACCATAAAATAATACCTGTGGACTGTTACGATCTGAATGAATCTCTTCAACTGGACTAGAGATTGAAAGTATTGCTGGATCCAATGGTGGTCCAGATAAATTGTCAGGAGACATTGTTAATTGTGATGAAGATGAATACATATTTCCAAAGCCAATTGTATCAGCGTAATTGGGATTACTCACTGATGAATCGTCAACAGACAATTCGGCTCTCTTATAACGAGGCATTGTCACTGTGATTTAATTAAAATCGTTTCGAGGGTAATAAAAATTAAAACAGTAATAACAAGAGAATTACCTTATTTCCTTGTCATTAGAAAACAACAACAAGGATAAACAATTTAGATATACAATCAGATCCAAGATGTAGATTTACAAAGGTAAATTGTAGACGAAACCGTTGACAATCAGTTGGTCACATGAAACCATATTTCATGGGTGATTAGGGAAATGATGGTAATCGAGATGATCCATTATTTTAATTGTCTTTCTGGTGATTTGATTTGATTCAAATTGTTTGGAAACTTATTCTCTTTCTCCAATCTTTTTCCCTATTATCTTATCAATGTAATAAAATTCAGAGTTTCCAAAACGAGGATATGATGAGATAAAACATGAGAAACAAGTTTATGACACAATAAACACATCAGAATATGATGATCATGAAATTGGGAGGGGACAGCGACTTAAACACACAGTCGAAAGAGAAAGGGAAAGGTTGAGTTTAAAGATGATTAGTAAATCACAATTAAGGTGGTCAAACAGTTTGATCGTTTTCGTTTTTCCTTGAAAAGGTAAACTGGTCAACAGGTTTATCGGTTCTCGCGATTCCTTCAGTTCACTTATTAGTTTTTTTCTGCTCGTATGGTGAAAGATTGAAAGGAAACAATCAACTTGAATAATGTAAATTGAAAGTGAATAACATTTTATGAGTTTCCAGCATCTTACGAGTTTGCTCCAATTCAATACAAGTATAAATCATCATGCGCCTCTTTAAGATGAGATTTGTTGTTTTCCTCTGGATCATATTGGTTATTTTTCTGGTGGTGATTATCAGCAGCACAATTGAGTACAATTAAGCTCAATTTAAGTTAATTTTTATTAATTTTGTGTCAACACACATAAATCATTTTCTTTCTGGTTATATGTTTTTGATACAATTTTAGATGATTTTCTTCTTACAACAACAGGTTACACTTTATATTTACTTTTACAATTTGTATTGAAAATTTTGGGCTTTTAGGTTCTTCTTGCTTTCTTTGGTCTATGAGTTTTTACTTTTACATAGTCTGAATTGTCAGTGATTGAGACTACATTTACCGCATGTTGGTCTAATACTTGAATTGAGGTTAACCTTCCAGGTCCAAGTCCATTTATAATAACTCGTACGGTTGTTCTGTCCAATAGTTTAAGCATTTTTACCATTGCTAAAGTAGCTGCTTGAGCTGCAACGGTTGTCCCTTTCTTGGATCCTTTGAAACCTTCAGTTAGACAAGATTTTCTTGTAAGATATTTATTATCACCACTCCAAAGGGAAAGTTTGGTATTATTTTTTGAACAATTGATGAATAGACGAGGTAAATTTTCATAAGGGATTCCATCGAAAAGAGTAGTTGCCGTTTCAGGAGTTGGATAATCAATTACTTTCTCTCCATAAAACTCCACCGATAATCCTGCTGTTCCATCATCTCTAATCGGTGCTCTTTTACGATACTCAGAGAGACCATGAATGATTTAATGGTAAACTATAATGTAGACTTCTTGTTGAAATTGATTTAATTACTTGGGAAATTAAAAAACCTTTGGAAAACATGATGATGATGAAACAATTGGATTAACCAAATTGTAAACAAAGAGCAAAGATTGACCGTTGCCACGACCGAACAAGTGGCGACCCCAAACATCTGCATCTCGAAAGTATTTGGTTACCATGACAACGTCTTAATTTCTTATTCTTTGGCTTTGGTTTGAATTGTTAACATAAATTGCTGTTATTTTTTACTTTGTCTTCACCATTGTCACGTTTGTAGTTTATCACCATGTCAGGAATAGCTGTCGCAAGGTTAGCAGAAGAACGGAAAGCCTGGAGGAAAGATCACCCATTTGTAAGTAGAAACAATTATTTCCATTCTTCTCCCACTCTCTCATCTTCCATATTTTTGGTCATCTTTCTTTCTTTCTTTCTTTCTATCTTTCTCTCTCTCTCTCTCTTTTAACCGCATATTTGTTATACTATGAGAGTAAAAAAAAACGCTTTTTTTATCCAAGATAATTAATATTGTCTCTTTTTCTTTTCTCTTTTGATTGTTATTCTTTGACCATGTTCAGGGATTCATTGCTAGACCCACCAAAAATCCCGATGGTTCATTAAATCTGCTGAATTGGGAATGTGCCATACCCGGTAAAAAAGGAGTAAGTCAAAAATTCCATTTTCTCTTTTTCAATTTTCTATTGGTCTTCACTTTCTTTATCTTTCTTAATCTTTCTTATCCTTTCCTTAGTCTAAAACTTCTCGCTTATCATCGTGTGTTGAACATGTTTTTCTCTTTGTGTTGACTGACCAACTCATGGTTACTCATTTTATATTCTTTTGCTTTTTTCTTATTCAATTTAAATTCTCATTCTTTCGCATCTCTCAACCTTTTTACAGACTCCTTGGGATGGCGGCCTTTATAAGCTAAAAATGATTTTCAAAGATGATTACCCATCTTCACCACCTAAATGCAAATTTGAACCACCATTATTTCACCCAAATGTTTATCCATCAGGCACCGTTTGTCTATCGCTTTTAGATGAAGAAAAAGATTGGAGACCGGCTATCACCATTAAACAGATTCTCCTCGGTATTCAAGACTTACTTAATGAACCAAACGTTAAGGATCCTGCTCAGGCCGAAGCATATACCATTTATTGGTATGTTAGATAACATTATTTATCATGATTTTGAGTTCTTTTAAAACTCTCGAGTTTATTTGCTTTAACTGTCAATATTTTCTTTTCTTTTCCCTTTCCTTTACAGCCAAAACCGTTTGGAATACGAAAAGAGGGTGAGAGCTCAAGCAAAAGCCATGGCTGCCACCGAATGATAAACAATTTGACTTTTGGTGTAATTGTTGTTAATTAAATCAAACAATTTCATTTTATAATCATTGATTCATATTGTAATCTGTCCTATTATTTTCTTTCCAGGCATCAATTCAAATTCATTTTAAACAAAATACATCAAGATAATAATAAGACTTAATTTCTTCAACGGTCCCTTAGCGGTTTAAGATTTTTGACTTTTTATTAGGCGCGACAATTGAATACAAAGTGATTGCCAAAAATTGTTCTTGTCTAGATATTAATCTTCTATTTACTGTAATTGAATACAATTGATTGTTAAATTGAGATAAATTGTTATAAGAAGCGAGAAAGGTGAGCAAAGAGAGAGAGAGAAGGAAATGAGAAAATTACAATTTACAGAGTGAGAAAAATGAAGAGTTTTACAAGATGATCGATTGACATAGTTGATGTAATTGTTCAATGAGATGGAAAAATAGTTGAGCTGATTAATTGTTCTCATTAGAAATCAAGTAATTGTGTAAAGATGCAAGTTGATTGTTACAAGAAACCGGAAAGTTGATCAAATGTTAAAATGAAAGTGATTTATATCCATGCTTTTGGGGATGATGAGTGTAAAATATGATACAAAATGTTACAACAATCGTAAAATCGAGTATTATAATACTAATTGTTACGAATTAAATACATAAATTGTAATAATCACAAAAAAGCTTGTCAATTTGTCAAATGGAATGAGGTTTAAATGAAGTTAAATTGATCTTTTTGTAAATTTTGTTGGTAATCAATTTTTACGCAAATAAAATTTGCTATTGATTAAATAAAGTAAATGATTTACACTGAGATGAGTTTTCTCAAGTATATTGACTATTCGGATGCCATCATATTGCAATTTTAGTAGAAATTGAAGATCGAGGCGAACACAACCCAAGTCGTGATTGCGATCTAAAACTCGCAACTCAATAGAAAGAGTCGATTCGGGCATAGGTAAAAATTCAAATTTGATTCTTTTCAGCGCTGATGATTTATAATCGCCCATAGTCATGAGGACACCCTTTTCTTTCAGCTTGGTGGCCGTGAATCTTATACAAGGTCCATCTGTACTGGTCGACAATGGCGAGGGTGATGCTGTTGTGGTCACTCTGGCAAAAGAAGGTGACAATCGATAACTGGCCTTACATTTGTTTAAATATTTCTCATAATATTGGTAAATCTCTTGGAGGTGATCATGTTTGGTCATTATGGTGTTTAAAGTTTCCTCGAGGTTAATCATCCTGGCGTATCTTTGATTGCGATATTGTAGCTTGTTAATTATGTCGTTTGCAATCATTAGAATAATTTCATCGAAACTTCGAGCTTCCGTGTGTCTCATATTTCGAATAGCATATTCTAGTAAAGAGCAAAGATTTGCAGGTTCGTTTGGACCAATTAGAATTGAGTGTTTCAAGAGATCTTGAGGTAAACTCCAATTGATTGATTTCTTATGTTCCATGAAAGTATTATCCTCTTCTTCGTCTACTCTTCGAAATAGAACTTGATTCAAATCTTTACAATTGGCTCGGTTTCGAATTAGTTCAATTATTCCTTGTTTTACTCCGTTTGTTCCTTTTGATCCAAGGGGAATATCTTTGATCACTCGACATCTCAAGGGTAAAGATATTTCCATGTTCATCAATTCATCCGAACCAACACTCTCCACATATTCAAGATCACAACTGAGTAAAGATTGAATATCTTGATGGGGTGGACCACATTCATTCATTAGAGTGTGAAATTCAACATCGATTGGATCACTTTCATTTGGAGAAATATCATTTTGATATCTGTGAAGAATTGAATGAGTTTCCATTATCTCTTGAAAAGTGACCGTTACGCTCGGTGGTTTGAGTGAAGCTTCATCGGCAAACTCATTGAAGAAAAAGATTTCTGAAATTTCATTCACAGAACAGATTGAATCAACTAAACGTTTCAACAAGAGCCACGATTGTTCAAGGAAATTATCCAATTGTTGAGTCTCTTCAATCTTAATTGATGATTGGGGTACCATAGGTGAGAAAGTGAATACCCGTTTACCTGTGACCGCCGCTTGGATTATTTTATAAACACCATTTAAATTTCGACGAGAAATCAGGCTGGTTTTCTTTTCATTTTCTCTCATGTTGGTTAAATAAGCTTCAGGGAATAATATACAGGGTTTAATCCATCGGGTGAAAAGGATATTTGATATTACTTTGATTTTGTCTTCCTCGGTGTAAGGTTCATTTAGAGAGATCAATTTTTCCGCAAGTGATGAGTCTAAACTTTTACAAATATATTTAAGTCCAAAGGGAATGAGATCGATGAATTCAGAGGAAACTATGGTATCGATGAGACGACCACAAGTTTTCACAATAAAGGGAATGTTATGAGCTAATTGAGCTCGAACTTGATTATCACTGAGAGCTTGTTCGATAGTGATATCTACATCTTGTTGGTTTTTATCGTCAACTGGATTAGTCCCATTTAGATTGTAATGATCCTTGTAAAGAGAGATTGGATCGAGGCATAGGAATGGTTCTTTATGAGAGATAATATCCAGTATCACAGGTTGAAGAATATCAAATAAAGCTTGTCGATGAGCACGATGACAGTCCAATGCGATTGTTACGATCATTGGATCTCCATCGATTATGTAATTTGCTTTGGTTATTTTTTGAGTGACCTCTTCTTTTAGAGATTCTTGAAGAAGTTTACAAAGAAGGTAAATCTCTCTTTCCCCTGGTTCACAGAAGAACAGTGAGTATATACAATTCTTGAAGAATGATGAAACCTGAAAGGTTGGAACAGCGAATAATAAACGTGACAAATATCGGGGTTGAGTTTGAAGAGCATAGAGTAGGTGAGAATAACATTTTAATCCAGAACAATTTCCTTGGTTAAATTTTCCGATATCAAAGGGAATCCATTTTCTTGGTTCTGTATTGGGACTTCCATTATCACCACACCTTTTTCTTCGTGACTTTCTACTTGTGACTACAGAAGATTTCATCTCAGCTAAAGCTTCAGCTGATAGAGTTAATCGAGAATTACGAATGAGAAGGCCAATATTCTCATCGATTTCATCTATTTTATCACTGACCTGACGGTTAGTCTTGATAGATTTTACTATTCTCTCTGTAAGCCTTATGGTTTCATTTTCAATGATATAATCTTGTTCACCGATGGACTGAGAGAGACAAACATCTCGTATCTCTTCAACAAGTGAGATCGAGGGTGATAAAGATGGGTCATTTGGTGAGGCAAGTCGCAAAGCTAATCTTTGGTAAGGTTCAAGAGTTGGCAACACAGGCGGAGTCACCGAAGGTGAAGACATTTAGTAAGACAGTTGATTTTCCCTATAAAAGGGTAGATTATATTGTAAACAACAACACCACAGGATGAAAGAAGGTTGACAATGTAGAATAAATAAAAAGAAATAATATAATAAAAAGAAATTGATTGAAAGGGTCAAATGATTGACTGAAACAATTGAGAAGAAAATTCAAAAAACATAAACAAAGTGACACAACCGAAAATTGTTTATACAGAGAATCGAATGAATCGAAAGAAAATCTGGTAAAAATCGATTCGAACATCGATTATTCTTTTCTTTTCAATTTCAAGTGATTGTTATTTAATTCTCATCATTATTCACTTTGTTAATTGTTTTCCATTATTCTCAAGGATTTTTATCTTCTCACCACAAAGAAATATTTAAATTCATGCCAACAATTTAAATACTCTTGTTTTCCATTGTGTACTCATGATTTCACCTTTTATACTTGTATTACATGTGAATTCATTTTGATTCACTTTTATCAACCGATTGAGAGTTGATTGTGTTTATCCTGGAAACAATTTATTCAATCATCTTAACCATTGATTACAAAGGTTAAGAGAATCATTTATTCAATCAGCTTCATCTTGATACGATTGTTCAAATAATTAGTTAACAATAATTTGTGTGTCTAAATATTTTAATTTGATTCAAGAAGAAACCTATTAGATGAACATGATGGTAAAAAAACAAAAACAGCAAAATGATTTTGGTTGTTTAGTTGATAAATATTTGAGATGATCTATAAGTAAATTTGATTGTTGTCATGTTAGAAATATAAATTAATTGTTCCAATCTTTAATCATCAATCTCTGTGTATCTGATTACACAGAAAAGTGATACTGCAAATACCAAGCAAATGAATTCAATGATCAACGTGAAAGCATTTAAACCAAGAGCGATTCCTCCTCTTAAATCATAGAAACGACCAAGGACTCGACCACATCCCTTAATTGCAAAACAAAATGGAGAAAAGTGTAAATTTACTTGATTCAGTTGAAATTCCCAATTACAAATAATTAACTTGATTACCTCTTGGTTGATGAAATTTGCTTGTTCCCGATAACATGAAACAGGAACTTCCAAACCATACCGATGATAATCATTGAAATTTTCAGCTCCACAACATTTCAACTGAAATTGGAACAAATTAACAAAATCAACAAGTTTATCTCTGATTAATTTACACTTTAATTATCAGAAAAAAGTCACGAATTTACCTTAACTTGAATGAAATCAAGCAGCTCTCTTGATCTCTCACTAAATGGCCTTTGCTGGATTTGAATTAAAACTTGTTGAGTAACATAGTATTCCAACTGAACAATTAAGACGAAATCATGAAATTTAATTAATGAAATGATGTCGACGATTAATTAACCATTAACTTACTCTTTCACCGAAACCATGAGTCAAGGCCAAAACCACAGAAGCAATTGCAAGTCCAATCAAAAGAGCCATTATAAAGATATACTAATCAAAATAACAATTAATGGGTTAGATTAATTATCAGGAAATTAAATTGTTGCTCACTTACTGATCCTAATTTGCATGTTGAATTAGTTAATGTCCCAATACAACCAACGATTGACAATATAACGATTGCTAATCCACTGAACATCATAATCCAACCAACGTTGATAAAGTTTTCGGTGTCGATGTACAAAGTTGGTTCGTACATTTTAGGATCGATTCTGAACCAAAGTCCAATTCCAATCAATGTCATCCCCGAACACTGAAAATCAACAGATTGATTAGATTTTGATACAATTAAATCAATCGTAAAATCGAAAATCATTTTCTCATTTGTAGTTGTTTCTTTCTAACTCAACTTGAGTTTCAATCTCCTCAATTAATTTGGTGATCAGGTTTATCCAATTGAGAAGGTTAATTGTAATTAATTAATGGACAATTAACTTGTCTACTTACCCAAAGGATGAAATTGAAAAAAATCAGACAAAGTTTGACACACGAAAAGTATTGTACAGAGTAGCCCATTTCTGGTTGATCTCTGTAACTTGACTTCTCGTGGTAATTAGTTGATTGTGCAATGTTGATAGTGATTAATAAACTATCCAATTAGTGGCCAATACTCTTGAACAATTAAAAAGTAAAATCAAAACAGACCAGTAAACTCAATCATCACAATATTCAACTGGATTTAGTTTATATAAAGAAACATATGATTAACTAATTATGAAGGACAAACGGACAATTGAATTAAGGTGAACACAATTAAACGTAAATAGTAATCATTAGGTAACCCGAACAATTAAAAGACACAAAGAGGACTGAAGAAAGTCAACTCACCAATGATTACGGAAATAAATTGTTCACCTTAATTGTTGATCAACAAGGAGAGATTTTTTTTGCATCTCATAATCATCGCAGGAAAAATAAACTAAATCGCTTAATCATTGATTGACTCAGCAATTAATTTCTAATCGTAGAACATTTAATTTACTAAATGCAATCAATTTTCGTCAATTTAATTTACAATAAATCAATTAGATCAAATTCTAAGTTAATTAAATTAGATAATTTGATGACCACTAATAAAGATTTATCTTTCTAGATAAACATTCAATCAACAATTACGAATTATTTACATTTAAGATAATCGGATTTCTTTTAAATTGTAAATTTGAAAATTAAGGTAATTTGATCAGAATCAATGAGGGTCAACAATTGAATTAATTTCTCACAACAGTTTTGATTACCTGAGAATTGAAATCGATTAACAATTAAATCGAAAACACGGTTGCTGATTCCAATTCCCAAGGAGCTTTTTCTAATTATTATGATGAGATTAAAAGTTATCAATAACTCTGATAAAGGAATTGATTTGGATGCTACTAAGCTGATTGCAGATTAAATTGTTTTGATTTATGCTCGAACTATATACAAATTGTTTCAAAAGATGGCGCCTTATTTTCTTAATTATTCGCTGATTTTGATCAACTACTAATTGATCATAATTAGTTGGATATTCAATCTTATTACTAATATTGGTTCTGATTCAAGTGATTCTATTATTTGACCAATGGTCAAACTTTTGATAGAGTTTATCATCTACTTGGTATTGAGTCGAAGCTGATTGTTTGTCGTTTTCTTTGTCCAGTATCAATAATAATCAAATAATCAAATGATTCTGATCATAATCACTGATCATTGATGAAAATGATTAAAGAGAGAGATATAAACAAAATCTCACTGACCAATACGATTTGCTTGACCAATGTGACAGTATAAAAGTTATCACCAATTGATTAACATAAAATTGTGAAAGTAACAGAAAAAATCAAAACAGCAATTAAATCGTGTTACCTGTTGATTGTAATAGTTAATTTTTTGTATCCACCGTTAATTGTGAAAACATCAATTGATTGAAACTATTTATAAGCCTTTTATTATTATTATCATAGTTAAAACAATTGATTAAAAATTGTAAAGTTAATTGTTATAGTTGATTACCTATGTGTTTGTATTTGTGTGCAAGTTTGTGGTAAACAGTTAATTAGTTAATTGTTTAATGGACAATATTATGTTATTAGTATTGTTATTTGAGTTCAACCTTTCATTTACCTTTCTGTTGATACAACATTTCATTCAATTACAATTAGTGACCTCATCTAAATGTCCAGATGATGATTTAACCCAAAGTACCGATGTTTCAATTAATAGACCAATCGGAACAATTAACTCTAATTATACCAATATAACAATTGGGTTTTTAAGTTCATTTGCCCGCTATGGACTTGGAAACAAAATATCCGGGGCCATCCCTTTGGCCGTTGAGGAAATCAACAGGTAACGATAACAAGAAAAGTTTCTTGATTCAAATGTTAAAGTTTTAATTCTTGACCCGTTTCGATTGGTCCAACGACAATAATAATAATAATTGGCCTTTCATCTTTAGAAATCCCAACCTTTTACCCAATCATACACTAAATTTTATCGCAATGGACGCTGGTCAGCCTAACAGAGCAACGTCCATTCGTATGATGACCGAGATGAGGGATCAAGGTGTCATCGCTTTCATAGGTCCAGAAAATAGTTGCCAGTCCGAGGCTCTTGTGTCAACTGCTTGGAACTACCCAATGATAACTTACGTAAGTAATCAACTAATTTACAATTTAATCAAGTCATTGTCCAGTTAATCTATTTATTTATATAATCCAAGATAAATGTTGCCTTAATTAGACAATCTAATTACAGCGGAAACTTTTATTCTCGTTGTCAACATCAATATTAGAAGAATATTAATATTATTTCAGAACTTTTTTTTACTTTTTCTATTCGATATCAATCTTAAATTCTATATATACACGATAGCTTATCACATTCATACCCTCCAACTGACCCTCTTCACTGAAGACTGACCAATGCTCATGGTAACACAATGATAACACTGTAAAAGTCAAATATGATTTATATCTTAAACCTTTGTTTCCTTTCACCTTATAACTTAGGCTTCCAATAAATGTTCAAACTCGAAGTTATCGAAACCTTGTTAGTGTTTTTATTTGTCTTATTTTTTTTGTGATCAACAATCATAACCTGAATGGCTTAGAATTAAATTGTTATGTAATTTGGTAATATAAAAAAAAGTGGGAAAAAAATGTTCGAATTTGGAGAAATCGATTTACCAAGTTCTAATCACGTTCTAATTATTTAACCAATGGATTAAATTGATTTGATAAGAGTGATGATAATCATTAACTTCATTTGTTACTTTGTATCATTAATGTTAATTGGTTGATTTAAACACAATTAATGGATGAACAAAATAACGAAGACCAAGAGAAAAAAGTTCAAAAAACTTTGTTAACTTTTCCAAGTTATATAACCAATTGAATTACGAATCGATTTTATTATTAGTACATTGGAATAATAAATTGTTGCTCTCGAATTTTTCTTTTCGAACTATTTCCATTGATAGAAATGTGCTGATCGAACTGTTTCCAATAAAACCGTTTACTCGACTTTCGCTCGAACCTTACCACCAGGTTCTAAAGTGTCCAAATCAATCATTTCACTATTGAAACATTTTAATTGGAACAAGGTGAGTGTGACAATTACTTTAATCACCATCAACTTATATTGATCTTGTCAGTTAATGACAATTGTTCAGCTTTGATTATGTGTTTATTGTTTTAATTGAGGAAAATTTTGATTGATTAAGTAGACGAAGAAAAAAACTGTTAATCTTTGAAAATGATTATGTGGACAATGTTGATGACAATTAATAAGATCAATAGTGATTAAAGTGTTGATTAAGTTATTATTTACTAACAATGACGTATATCATGATTATCACGATGATAATCAAATGATTGGTGTAATTGATTTAGTTAGAGAAAAAAACTCCAAGGCGATTTGAACCTTAACCTCAAATCAACTTTACACATCGCAATTATTTTCAATCTAAATTGTTGTTTACAGATTGTATTGATTGTTAATGATAATCCAACTGATCGACAAGTCGAGGAATCGTTAATATCATTGGCTGCCGATTCTGGGATTCAAATTAATAACACTTATTATCTACCTCAGTATTACCTGACTAAACATAAAGATCAGTTGGAAGCCATTTTGGATGATAGTTATTCTAAGACGCGAAGTAAGTTAATTAGTATGAAATTTTAAGATCTTCTCTTAATTGTTTTCCCATTTCCATGGTTTCAGTTTATGTTTTAATATCGGACATTGAAGCGGTCGCTGATTACGCTCGTTTGATGCACCAACGTAACCTACTGACCACCGGTGATTATGTTATCATCTCAATTGAAGATGAAGTGGTTTACTCACCAGAGAAGCAAGAAAATTATTTCCTTCAGGCATTTGAATCTTGTTTAAACACCGCCACTAATCCAGTGACCAGTAAAACCGATGGACTGACCACCGCCATCATAGGTGGAGGTGGAAATGAAAGTGATCTGAGGGAGGTTTGTGACTACGATTCGAAAATGTTGTTCCCGTTTAAAGCGGTTTTCATAGTGACCCCAAGTGCGCCAATTGATCCTGATTATGATCAATTTAAGCGACGTGTTAATTGTCGTAATCGTCGGCATCCATTTAACGTACCAATCCATGAGCTCATTGATCCAGATGTAAGTGCGATTAATATATAATAACAAATGATAATGTTGTTGACAAATTTAGGATCTAATTATTTGACTAGATCACGTTTTTGCTTGTTGTTTTTTACCATCATCAACTAATTGATTAAGGTTAATTAATTTAGGTACCAATTTATGCTGGATTAGCATATGATGCGGTAATGATTTATGCAATGGCGGTAACACAATTAATTGTTGAAGGTGTTGATTATACCAATGGTACTGCTGTCATGGAGAGGATTAAATTGTTACGATATCATAGTAAGAATCAATAACCAATTAACAATCAATTGTTCATGTATATTAAACTATTAACACAATTCTCGGCAGGTATTCTTGGTTTCGATGTGACCGTTGATGAAAATGGTGATGCCGAAGGTAATTACACCTTATTGGCACTTCTGGATAATCCTCAGGCCAAATGGAGCAACAAAACGATCTGGAACAAGACGATGCAACCTGTTGGTCGATTTACCTATCAAAGTGCAACCGATTTACCTGTAAGTTGATTGTTACTAAATTCTATAGAAATTAATTGATTGTATTTCGATAGTCACTCAATTTAGAACGTAAAATTGATTGGATTGCGGGTGAAGCTCCACCAAGTGAACCTTATTGTGGTTTCGATGGTGAAAAGTGTGTCCATAAGCCTAATTGGGTGTTAATTGTTGGTTCGACTACAGGATCACTAATATTAATCATAATCTTTTCCTTGGTCTTCAGGTGAACACGTTTTCTTTTTTTAATCAAAGTGATTAACTAAATTAATCGCTAACAAAATTGTTATTCAATTACCTTAGACATTATCGATATGAATATAAACTTGCTTGTTTATTATGGAAAGTTGATCTCAAGGAATTAATCATCTTACAAACTAATTCAGAATCAACTTTACAAAATTTACGAAATACAATTAATGTAAGTATCGGTAATTAAATTAATCATTTACACTTATAATTTTAACTGTTAGCTTAAGATAAACAAAGTCTAAATTTTGGTCACTTATTCCTAAACATGATTAACTTAATCATCAGTTGATTCCATGAGTTGTTAAGAATATATCAAAAAAAGGTGAATCAAAGTGATAATCTCAAGAAAGATGAGGAAAAAAAAATTAATCCCTTTTATTAATAATCATGTGCACAATTTAATTTGATTGTTGTTTATTTAAAAACAGTTTCATCGATTGGATTCAAATCGTTTCTCTACTTTTATAACCTCCTCCCAGTCAGGGTCAAATCGCCATAGCAAAGGTATAGTGGGCAGTTCTGGACCTCCAGGTAATATAAATAGTTCATATGGAGGTAGTGGTTGTGGAGGTAAAAGTGACGGTGGTTGTGGGGGTGGTGGTGGGACTGGAGGAGTGGGTGGAATCGGAGTCAACGGTGGAAACAGTGAAAGTGAATATGAAGAGCTATTTGGAAATGAGATTGGATTTTATAAAGGGAATGTTGTATTCATCAAGAGAATTTATAAAAAGAGTATTGATTTAACTCGAAATGTTCGTAAAGAGCTAATCCAGGTAATTAACGAGTTAATTGTTCAGTTTAAAATCGTAAAATACACTAATGATTCTCTTAATTGTTACCTACAATTTCAAGGTTCGTGAGATGAGACATGAAAATATCAACGCTTTTATTGGAGCTTCGGTTGACACTCCCAATGTTGTTGTGTTGAAACTTTATTGTGCCCGAGGCAGTCTCGAGGTAAGTAATTAAATCTAATCAGAATGTTGTTGATTAATTGGTTAATCTTTATCACAAGATTAAGGATTAAGTTTATTTTATCCCCAAGAAAATAATCAGTGATAAGTTTTAGACAAATGCGATCACTGATTGGATTTAAATGATATTTTGATAATTTTTTTTTTCTTCTCGTTAATTGTGTTGATTTGATTGCTCTTATAATTGTTTATTTGATTTGATTGTCATTATTAGGATGTGCTTAAAAATCAGGATCTTAATTTTGACAATATGTTCATTGCCTCATTGGTTGCTGATCTAATTAAGGTAAGACCTTAACCTCAACTTTTCTGTATAATTATCTTGATTGTTTGTAAATCATTTTGTAAATTGTGTCTCTCTGTTTATGATTAAATCACAATCACCATCAATCAAATCAATAGACAATAAATAATCATTATTATTATTACTATTATTTTCTGATAACAATAAGGGTCAATAAGGGTAAAAGATGATGAATAATAATATAAATAAACTGGACAATTGATCTAATTACTTTTTTTTTCTCTGTCACATTTATTTCATCTTATTCTTATTAATCTATCGTCATATTTATCCCTCATTTTGTCATCTTTATCCTCCAATCTAATTGTTTTTTCAACTTGTACTTTTGATTATCTCCTCTTAATCCACAGGGAATGATTTATCTTCATGATTCATACATCATATCCCATGGTAATCTCAAGTCATCCAATTGTCTAGTTGATTCTCGGTGGGTCCTTCAGATAACTGACTTTGGACTTCACGAGTTTCAACAGGGTCAAGAATTTCCTCCAGAATATATTGAAAAACGAGAACGAGGTCAGTCGATTATTGTTATTTTATTATTATCATAATAATCTCGAGAAAGTGAAAATGTTTATATAAACTTTTTTTTTCTTCTTTTTTTCTTCCAAAACGAAACTTGAACTCTCAGGTTATTTATGGAGAGCACCTGAGTTACTCCGACAAATTAATCCACCGCCTCGTGGTACACAAAAAGGTGACATTTACTCGTTTGCGATCATTTTATTTGAAATTATTGGACGAAAAGGACCTTGGGGAATCTCAGAACTTTCAGTTCGATCAATTTTAGACCAGGTTAAATTTCCCCACCATTATGATGGTGCTATTTTCCGTCCACCATTAGATCAACTTTCGTGCCCCGATTATGTAGCAAAGTGTATTCGAGAATGTTGGGTTGAAGAACCAGAGAATCGACCAGATTTCCGTTTTATTAATATTCAATTAAGAGATATGCAAGCTGGATTGTAAGTTATATTCATCTAGTTGGTTTATTCACAACAGAATCTAATTGTTATTCTTAATTGTTAACAATATAAAACCAGGAAACCGAATATATTTGATAATATGATCGCAATGATGGAAAAATATGCTTATAATTTAGAGGGATTGGTCCAGGAAAGAACTAATCAATTATTGGAAGAGAAAAAGAAAACTGAAAATCTTCTTCTCAGAATGTTACCCAAGTAAGTTTACATTGGAAAATAATTAACAATTAGAGTTAATTGTTAATCATAGAAATTTCAATCTTTTCACTCCAAGCGCCATCTATCGTTTTTTCCCCTTCTCTTTTTTAGATTTTCAATGAAATTTTAATTTCTTTTCAATTTGAACAAATTTGTTTTCTCCTTTGATTTGATTGTGTTTTTACTTTGATTGTTTCTTTTTTTTTCTTATTAATTAAATCCATATTATCCATGGATTTGCTATTGATCAGTGAACTAAATTAATTTTATATTCTATTGGAATTTAATTCTGTTTACTAAGCTTACGTTAAATGTTGACCGTTGGAAGATTTCACTTGGTGAATTGACTTGATTTTCTTTGATTTAACAAATTGTGAATTTTTTTTGTTTTTTTCTTTCAATTACAATTTAATTCTTTGTTTTTTCCCCTCAATTTAGGCCTGTGGCCGAGCAATTAAAAAGAGGAGAACCAGTTAAGGCGGAAAGTTTTGATGCAGTTACTATTTATTTCAGTGATGTTGTTGGATTCACTGCTTTATCTGCATCCAGTACACCACTTGAGGTAATTACACTTTGACTTAATTGTTACTGTTAATCCACGGATATGATTAATATCTGATTTGTTCCTTAATCCTCTTGCTTATGATGCTCTTTAATTTTCCTTCCTACATCATCAGGTTGTCGCTTTATTGAATAATCTATACACTTGTTTCGATTCAATTATTGGCCATTATGATGTGTACAAGGTGGAAACCATTGGTGATGCTTACATGGTTGTCTCTGGTTTACCCATTCGCAATGGTGATCGACATGCGGGTGAAATAGCGTCATTAGCACTTCACCTTTTAAGTGCCATTCAAAATTTCCAGATACCTCATCGACCTGGAGAAAGGTTAAAATTAAGAATCGGTATTCATTCGGGTCCATGTGTTGCCGGTGTTGTTGGCCTTAAAATGCCTCGATACTGTTTGTTTGGTGACACTGTTAACACTGCATCAAGAATGGAATCAACTGGTGAAGGTGTGACACCATTTTTTTTTGTTCGCTTTTCACATTTTCCTCTTGCGAAAAAATTTATTCTCTCTTTCTCCTTTTATCTCTTTTAGCTCTCAAAATTCATGTCAGTGAGGCTTGTAAACAAATTCTACTCAAACTTGGTGGTTATAAATTACAGGAAAGAGGAATGACACCGATCAAGGTAAATTAATCTTCTCAAAGATGACAATCACCTTTGATTAACTGTCATTTATTATTAATCATTTGCCTCAGGGTAAAGGAGAGATGCGCACTTACTGGCTGTTAGGTAAAACTCGTCTTTCTAATCATCATCTATCAGCGGAAAATGCAATCCTAGAGATTTCAAATGACCTGAAAGAATTTTCCGATTCATGCTTACGAGAAACTGGATTCCCAAGATCGACAAGTCCCGATCCTTATAATCTTAAACTGGACGATAATTGGTCAAATATTAGATGGACTTCAGTCGAGGATAATAGTTACCGTTTCAATAATAACAACAATTCAGCTAAACGTTCATCAATGATTAGACATCGTACCAGTGAAGGCGGTGGTAGTGGAGTGAGTTATTGTATCACCAGTGGTGGTGGTGGGAGTTTAACGGGTGATCTCGGCGAGAGAAATGCTCATGACAAATTCCGTCGTATAAATTCATGTGCCTTGGATGATAAATATTTTCGTAAAAATCGTTCTAATCAAATTCAACACCAATCATCTTATCATCAACATCAAAATTGGCAAAATCGTCAACAACAACAACAATCACCACAATCTAACCAATGGCCTAACCAGCAACAATCAAATGCTCAACTTAATCATCATTATCAACAGAAACACCAACATCACAACAATCAAACTAATCATCCACAACAACCTTTACACAACTCATGTCAACATTATTCCCATCATCAACAACAATCTCAAGCTCAACAACAGCAACAATTAGCAAGAAATGATACAATTCAATTTACTCTTAGCTGTTTAAGTTTACCAAGTAACAACAATCAAAACTGGGATGAACCATTTAATTCACTTGATGAAGTACCAAGCGTATCGATTGATCAACCAACATCACCTAAATCACCAACAATCATAGATCTTCAAGAAACTAACAATTTCTTAAAGCAACAATTTTAATCCACCAGTTGACAATTTTTTTTCCAATCAATCACCATTCCTTTTATTTAATTATCATATACACACACAAATATATATTATTAATTAATTCTTGGACAATCAAGGAAGACGAAACAATCAAGAAAAAAAAGTCATATAATCAGTAACATTGTTATAAATGTTAACTAAAAGTTAATCATTATTGTTTGTATACCATTTTGTCATCTTAATGTAATCAACCACATCTAATTGTAATATATTCACACACACCAATCGGATCATCGTTAGGCTTTGATTTCTTCATCACCAATGGGAAGCTTGACCATTTGACCGCCATTTTTAGTCGTTTCATCACTCTGGTAGACTTCTGCTTCTAATTGAAGAGCCAACAATTCAAGGATATCAGCTAAATGTGATTGTTGAATATTTTGTCCCAACAAGTAGACAATAAACCAATCGCCGTAGGTTAATTGGTTAACCAAATCAATGACAACTTGTGGTCGTGATCGTCTAGAGACAATTTGAAGGAGTCGATATCGAGCTGGTGGATAGAAGAAGCAACAAAGTCGATAGATTATGGAAAATGCCGAAATGATGGCCAACAGAACAAACCAAATCCAAAGGCCAATATAAATCTTTTCATTGATAATGTTCAACGGAAGAAGACAGTAGTTATCATATACTTGGATATCTCCAGAGGAACCATAATGATTAAAGTTACATTTTGTCATTTTGGGAAACACTCGAGTCAATGGATTAATCTCTTCAGCGGATCCATCGAAAAACATGGCCTGCCAACCATAATCGACAAAATTACCAGCAAGAAACCAATTGGTTATATAAAATTCAACCAGAACATGAAAGAAATTGAAAATCTCACAGAAAAAGTACTTGAGAGCATATTCATCAAACCAACCCCGACGAGTGATCAAAAATTTAACCAAAGAATTTTCACTTTGAGCTTTTTTACTCTCGGCGAGTAGAGCTTTGTTCAAATCGGCGACCAATCGCTTAACATGGCCTCCTTCCCATCTCTAAATTACAGCAAAGAATAGCAATTAAATCGCTGCGACGATAATTATGATGAGTTGAATCGTTTACTTACCTTCCACAAAAGATGAGGCCCATAAAAAGCGAGCGCTTGAAGGAAGAGGACAAAGCAAACCCATTGGTAGTAATCGTGTTTCAAAATTTCGTCCTTACGATTTTTCTGCTCGATACCAGGCATTACCACCTCCTCCCCGGTAATTTTGGTCAAAGCCTTGGGCAAGGTGAAAGTTCCCTCGACCCAACAGTAATTGTTGATCGTATGCGGATTAACCGTTCTGGCCTGGGATAAGCACATTATTGGAGTTCCAAAAAATTGGTACGATGTAACAACGGCACAGGCAACAATTAACGCATTAAAAGTGTACCGATAATGTAATTTAAAAACTACATTGTCAATTTTGGTTGTCTTAATGTGACCAAGATATTTAAGCTTCCTGGTCAACAGGGGCATTAAATAACCAGCAGTAGACATTTTAATTCAATTTGATTGATTAACTATTTCACTATTATTTGTAATCAATTTTATCACGATTATCACATTAAAAAATTGATTGTCCAAAATTGTGATCAATTTACTGAATTCGGTTGATTAACACACTAGAAAAATTCAACTAGATTCTAACCTGATTCTTATGATCTGTTAGAATCAGTAACTGCAAATGAAATGATTAACATTAAACAAATTATCTTGTTGATTGTGATTAAAATGATTAAGATTGCGTCTTAATTACTAAAGGTCACCCTTGTTTCGATTCACTCTTTTCACTAATTACAATTTGATAGTAATTTAATTATCTTTTCATAACCAAGGAAACCTTGAGCTTCTGTTGGGATCAAATGTAATTACAAATTAATCTGTTGATTAAGTTTTTATCTGAAGTTTTGTTTTCGGTAATAAATCACAACGGTAATAATTAATAAATTGTTCTTAAAGTTAACTTAATAACAATGTTGTTTCTTTGTTTAATCAACCTAATTAGAGATCAATAGTTGGTTAGATTACAATTTCAAATGATTTCCATCATTTGTTTTTCCTTTGATACTGTTTGGTGGTTTAAATGTTTTTCATTGATTGTATGAATTAATTTAGTTTATGTTGAGTGTGTTGACAATTTGATTGAATTAACATTGAACAGACAAATTAATAGTTACATTTAAGTTTTAACTTAGTGAAAGTTGATAAAATATAATTTTATAAGTAAATGAAATGTCATTGATTAGTGAAAATTGTACAATCGTAGCTGATTATTTGAAATTAAGTTGAAATTGTAGTTGGTTGATTATAACAGTTATTATAATAGTTGAGCTTTTATATTGTCACTGATTGGAGTTGATTTGTCATGTTAGCTGATTGTTGTACGATCGTTTGAATTGTTTCAAAGTTTAGATTAAATTGATGATTCTGATATTTTCTTGGCCTTTGGTACTTTATAAGTTTCTTCATTTAATTGTAGAGTAAATAATTAGAGGACATCGGCGAAATGTGACTGTTCAACATTCTGACCAATTAGATAAAGAAGGAACCAATAAACATAATTAAGTAATTCGATTAGAGTTGAATTTGCCTAAGGTTTCGCCCGACGACTGACCATTTGAAGTAAACGATGTCAACAGGGAGGATAGACGAAGTGGACAATTCGATGGACCACCGATAGAGCGGAAACTGCGGCCAAAAATATGAAGCAAATCCAAAGGAAAGGATAAATTTTCTCGTTCATAATATTCAACGGGAGAAAAGTTATCATATATTTGAATATCTCCTGAAGAATCGTAAACACGAAAGGTATTAATACATTTGGTCATTTTGCGGAAAATTTTGGTTATTGGATTGGTCTCCTTTGAATAAGCCAATACAAAGGCACCATAATTGAGAAAATTTCCGCTCAAAAATGTGTCCGTTAAAATGATCTGAACAATCACATGGGTGAGATTGAGTATCCCACAAAAGCAAAACTTTTTAGCGCAAAGGTTCATCTTCGAGAGAACAGAAAATCGATCAGAAAACTTGAATGCTCTTTCTTTTTATTGCAAGTCCAATCAATGTCATCCCCGAACATTGAACAATCAACAGATTAGATTAGATTTTAATACAATTAAATCAATTGTAAAATCGAAAATCATTTTCTCATTTGTGGCTGTTTCTTTCTAACTCAATGATTACTTGAGTTTCAATCTCCTCAATTAATTTAGTGATCAGGTTTATCCAATTGAGAAGGTTAATTGTAATTAATTAATGGACAATTAACTTGTCTACTTACCCAAAGGATGAAATTGAAAAAAATCAGACAAAGTTTGACACACGAAAAGTATTGTACAGAGTAGCCCATTTCTGGTTGATCTCTGTAACTTGACTTCTCGTGATAATTAGTTGATTGTGCAATGTTGACAGTGATTAATAAACTATCCAATTAGTGGCCAATACTCTTGAACAATTAAAAAATAAAATCAAAACAGACCAGTAAACTCAATCATCACAACATTAAACTGGATTTAGTTTATACAGGGCATTTCACCAAGTTTCCAACAAGTTTTTCTCGAATAACTTTTTTGCTTTTGAGTGTTTAGACCCCATACTCGAGTTATGGTAGTTTGGGCCAGACTCAATTGTCATATTAAAATATCAAGGTCATTCCGGTCATTGTGTACAGATACGGTTTCAAGGTCATTCGGTGGTCACAATCGAATTTACTTGCTATCATTAGGCTTCATACGAGTTTATAACTTTTTAACATTTTTAGTTGCAGAGATATATTGGTTTTGATGCAGAATCCTTTTAATTCAACTTTCATCAATTTGCTCGTATCAAAAAGCGTAAGAGTCAAAAAACATTTTTGATTTAGGTACATTTTGGTTTTTTAAATTTGAATCGATTGTGACAACCGAATGACCTTGAAACCGTATCTGTACACAATGACCGGAATGACCTTGATATTTTAATATGACAATTGAGTCTGGCCCAAACTACCATAACTCGAGTATGGGGTCTAAACACTCAAAAGCAAAAAAGTTATTCGAGAAAAACTTGTTGGAAACTTGGTGAAATGCCCTGTATAAAGAAATAATATAAAGATTAACTAATTATGAAGGACAAACGGACAATTGAATTAAGGTGAACACAATTAAACGTAAATAGTAATCATTAGGTAACCCGAACAATTAAAAGACACAAAGAGGACTGAAGAAAGTCAACTCACTAATGATTACGGAAATAAATTGTTCACCTTAATTGTTGATCAACAAGGAGAGATTTTTTTTGCATCTCATAATCATCGCAGGAAAAATAAACTAAATCGCTTAATCATTGATTGACTCAGCAATTAATTTCTAATCGTAGAACATTTAATTTACTAAATGCAATCAATTTTCGGTAATTTACAATAAAATCAATTGAATTAAATTCTAAGTTAATTAAATTAGATAATCTGATGACCACTAATAAAGATTTATCTTTCTAGATAAACATTCAATCAATATTTACGAATTATTTACATTTAAGATAATCGGATTTCTTTTAAATTGTAAATTTGAAAATTAAGGTAATTTGATCAGAATCAATGAGGGTCAACAATTGAATTAATTTCTCACAATAGTTTTGATTATCTGAGAATTGAAATCGATTAAAAATTGCATCGAAAACACGGTTGCTGATTCCGATTGTAATTCTATTTCAGCATTTCATCATTCTTAATAATGGGAGACCGGATTATATTGGAAATATAATTGTTATCACCTTAAGATGATTCTAATTGTACATTCGAGAATTGATTGTTTAACAATTTTATGTAATATCAATAAACATTTAAATTTACAGCTAACAGAATTGCTGTTCCAAGAATTGATTTCCTGTCGAGCTTAATTTGAATTGTTGTTTTCAAACAACACATTTATAATTGTAACTTAAATTGGGAACACTAGATCATGTTTTGTAAAGAAAGACTAACAAAATTTTGATTTTGGATGGGCAAAAATGGAGGAAATCAAAAATAATCAATTTCGGAGAGCAGAGATAGAGAATTAGGGTCAAAGAGTTTCTTTTACTAATCTAACTGGATTAACAATTAGAATTTTTAGTCCAACTATTGATTACTGGTAATTGGGTTGTGATCCAAATCGCATACGACAATCCTTTAGAATTTGGTTGAAACCCTCACACAAAGAGATATCTGATTGCTCTTGAGTACAATTAAGGAATTGTCGAAGCTCCAATGAACATGCTGATTGTTGTTGTTGTTGTTGTTGATATTGTTGTGGTTGTTGGTATTGTTGTGGAACAGCTTCTTGTTGAGCTGGAGCAGCATCATGTCCACCAGAGAAAGCACCAGTGATAGCATGGCCAACGGTATGTCCAACAGCCGATCCAATAGCAACACCACCAGCGGTGGCAGCCATTTGTGCCATCAATCCAGGACCTTGAGATCCCATAGCAGGTCCAACGGCAGTTGGAGCTGGAGCAACAGGAACAGGAGCCCTTTGAGGAGGTGCAGCCATAGGAGTTCGTCGACTGGCCATTGGTGAAGATCTACCAGGTGATGAACTTCGTCCTCGTCGAGCCATTTCAATTAAAATTAGTTAACAAGGTTATACAATTTATCACGTCTATAGAAAGGATGAAAAATAAGAAACACAATTAAAATTTTCACACACAATTGAAATCCTTCTTATTTTACTTCAACAAAAACAAAAACCACAGATCACAGAACAAACAAAGTAACCACTAAATACTCACCAAAAAGAATAAAAGATTTAATTTAATCAAGAACAATTAAATCAAGTGAAGAACAGAAAAAATTGCAAGTCACCTTCAGAACACTCGTTTACGTAATGACTCAATTCTCGGTTTGGTTTTCTATTCTATAGAAAACATTAGATGGCGTTACCGTCGCTTCGAAAATTCTGGAAACTCAATGATGAGTTCTGATGAACTGATTGTCTTTTCATTTCGTCAGATTTTAATTATAATTAGATTGTTTCTTTTGCCAAATTAGTGTATTTCAATTTGTTTGTACTCAAGTGACTTTTAATTTATTTGGTAAATCGCATTAAGTTTGGTAAACGCACGTTCACCTTTTTATTCAATGGAGATCATCAGTTGTCCCTAAGAATCATTTTCTTAATTGTTTTGGTTTCTCCATTTTAATTGTTCTCAATGGTGATCAATTGTTAATTGAATCAATTCTTTTCTCTTCAATAGTTGATTCAGATTCGTATCGATACGTAATCAGATCGTAATCTAGATGTAATGTTATCTGGCAAAATTTTCAAGTGATTTCGTTTCAATCACTAATTCAGAGTTAATTGTAATCTCTAATTTGGTCTCAAAAATTGAAATTCAATTTCCTTTCGTCTTTATTAATCTTCATGATTAATGTGATAACCTTGAAAGTAAACAACAAGATCAATGGATTTATTTTCTTAATCATTTCATTCATCTAATGATTATTGTTTATTTACTGTATCATTTTTGTCCGAAGCTTTTACAGTCTTGCAATTTAATTTAATTGTAAATTACGAGAGAAATCAACAACATTACATCATTTAAATGTTTCCATGTTGTAAATGGATCAACAGTTGATTGGAGTTTAAAAAATTTGGCAATTGATGATCTATTTTACAATTAACCATTTTTGAAATGGTAAATAAGAAAAGCTCATTGATTAACAATCGTCGTTGGGTTACAATCAAAATCTTTTCGTTTGATTGTAGACAATCAGTTAAATTGACTTCATTGATGAACCATTTTCCAATTTACAATCAACAGAATCTATTTCAATTTTCTCAGGACGTTATTAGTCTTTAGACTATTTTACTTAATTATCGTTTCGTTGGATCATAATTTTCAATTTGATTTACTAAAGAAAAGATTATGGAATTAGAATTAAATTTAATCTCCATCTTTGATTTAAGGATGGATTTAATTGGAGATAAATAAGAATAAAATTATCTATCGTAATTAGGAAAATGAATGATTTTCCAATCAATTTCATTCCTGTTGACTAATTGCTGGATCCAAATGAGATTTGTATTAATGACTGGATGATAATGTTACAGAATATGAAAAATTATTAATTGTTATGATGGAGGAAAATTGTTATTGAGTTGAATTGAGATTATCACTTTTGTGTTGAAAAAATTGTCCTACGATTAAGAGGGCGAGGTAAGAGATACGAATTCACATTAACTTTGGTCAATACGAATGTTAATTGTAAACATTAATTAAAAGTGAGCATCAGACATTCATCACCATGAGATCAATAAGCGTCTCAAGAGCGGCAATAATTTGAGTTCGATCGTAAGCCGAGCAACAGGAAACGCACCATTTGCGACCATTCATTAAGGGTTTAAAATAACGTTCGATTTCCTCTGAATTTCTGGCTCCTTCCAAATCAGAATGAGTACCTAACAGAATAAGAGTAAACAATTAGAACTAAATTAACGAGAATAGAGACAAAGAGAGAAAAAATCGAATTCAAGGTTTTCAGCTGATAATATTTCTTTGTTTTCATCTGATTGAGAATTACAATGAGAAAAAAACAAATGAAAATGAATTAACCTTCATTTCAAATTGAAATGAAAACAATTAACATATTATATACAAGAATAATAATGATTCTCATGATATCGATGAGCTCTCAGAATATGAGAAATATTTTCCAACTGATTTCCCTGAACATCCAATGGTTTATCATGATGAACACTTTTTATTAGGAAAAGTATCTCGAGGAAATTTCGACCCGACTGGTAGTTACATACCCAATATAAGGCAAGGTTTACCGGTCAATCGATGGTCAGCCAGAACCACTCTTAATGCTTCCTGGGCAGTGTTTAATTCCTCCTCTGAATCGGTTGAATCGACGACAAAAAGGATTCCATTTTTATTACCAAAATAATGGTCCCAAAAAGGTTGAACTTGGAAAGATCCTCCGAGCTCCTTGATACTAATTACAGTGTTTTTGATTGGCAGTGTTTTAATGTTAAATCCTCGGGTGGGTTCACAGTTAGACAAAGGTTCTTGTACAAGGTGAGACAATAGAGTTGTTTTTCCAGCACCACTTAATCCTAAGCAAAGTACATTGTATTGATCTTGAAGGATAAACACAATTGGCTTATGACATTGGATCCATTGCCAACACTAATTATCAAATGAATTTAAACAAGGAGAGAGAGAGAGATGAGGATTATGATAAGGTCATTGAGTAAATCAGGGAAACAGCTGATAGATTAAAATCAGTTTGATGTTAATAGAAAAGGAAGATTAAATGATCTAGAAAAAAAAACGAAAACAATGTTAATCTTATGTAACAGATTAACAGTTACATTTGGATGAATACATTTACCTTTCTCAATCCCACTCTACAAGCTGTGAAGCTTGAGTTAATTGTTTCCCGAACACCAGGCATCTTGATCAATTGGTGGTTAATTAGTGTAGAGCAAAATAATCAGGGAGAAATTAATTGTAATTAAAATAAATGAATGGAAATTCAATTCTAACACAGGAGATGATTAAGTAAACAAAAACATTCGAATCCAAATGTTAACCTGTAATCTTCATGGTGAGAGATGAAAATAGAAATGAAGATGAAGTGAGAATGAGATGATGATGATGATGAGAGAAAATGTAAATTTACCGTTAGATCTCCAGATTTCATTGGTGTAATGAATGGAAACAATTAAAAACAATTTGATTAATCATGAGAACAAAAGAAAATGTTTAATTTGTAGCATGTTGAAATGAATCATCAGTTGTTACGATTAAGAATCGAATTAATCAATTGATAGAAAATCAAGTCGATAGATGATAATGACGATAGAGTAGATGAAGAAGAGAGAGAGAGAGAGAGAGTTTTAGGTGAAAAGCCTTCGAAATCGTAGTAAAAGACTAACGAAAGTTAATCAATTAAAACCAACGAAAACAATTCAATCTCATTAACCTGATGCGCGATTTTCAAATATCTAAATTAATCTTCAATTCGTTTCATTAATCAAACTAATCAACTTTAACTTTATTTCTCGATAAAAGTTTACCAAATTAACTCTCTGATCATGAAATACGATTGAAAATAATAGTTCATTTCAATGAGAATCGACAATGTTTCAACTAATATGGAAATCGATTGACAATAACAAGAAGAGAAATTTAATTGTACATGTTAATAGATTGATAATCTTTTGGTTAACAATTAAGAGAAAGAAATTAAATTGTTCTTTCTATTAGTGAATTGACATCGATTGTTTATCTACAATGTGAAACTCTAGATGGCGACGATTGTATTTCTCGTGTAGTTGATGAAACTCAGTGAATTTCATGGAACATGAATTGTTGTTTCATTATCGAAATAGAGAAAGAAACAGATAAGAGTAAAGATTAAACTCTTTTTCTCTTGATATCTTGATTAAGATGAACAAATGAAATACCGATAGAAGAGAAGCAAACAATCAATAACTAGATTACCATTCGATTCTCCTCAGTGATTAACAATAATTCACCAATTTCTTCGTCTACTATTGGATAATATCCAATCTTATTCTCATTCTCTCTCTCTACAAACAATATTTTCTCATTTTATACAATCAAAGTATCTTCCAGTTCCATTGAGAAAGTGTATCCATGTATCTTTGTTTCTGTGTCTCCCAACTAATTAACCATCATGTTAATTATAACTCTCAATTCATTGACAGCGATAAACAATCAATGATCAAACTGTTCCTTAAAATAGTTTGAAGAAAAATCTTAAAAATCATCAACAAATCGAGAAGGAAAAATCACCAAAGAAAAACAAAAGTTTCTTCTTACCTTTGTTACTTTAACGTTTCCTCATCACAACTGAACTTTAATTCTCAACCATGTTCTGTGTTGACTGTCAATCATAATTATCAACAAAATCTATTCTATTTATCATTAAAACAATTAAAACATCAACAACAATACAAGAAGAAAATAAACTCGAAAATATAATTGGAATTGTTTTCTTTTTCTTCAAAAGGATTAACATGGCTTCCAATTGGATTCTCATCGTTTCTAATTCAATGTTACTTTTCCTACTTACCTGTGGACCGATTTCAGTGTTTGGATCAACAAATGATTCGTATTTTAATTGTGATTTTAATTACTTTCAACAAAGTGAACCCAAGTGCAATTGGATTGTTGATAATTCATTTAAAGTGGTTAACGATTCATTATTAACTCAATCGTGGCTCCATTTTAACACTTCGACAATTAATCGTCAATCAATTTCTTCAGGTATTATGGGTAAACTAATCTCACCGATTATCCCGATTATCCAAATGGAGACACCGAGTCACTGTAATCTAGTAATTAATATGAAAATGAATCAATTTGATTCAGCGTTAATTAAGATTGTCCGAAAATCAGTGAAAAACATTGAACCTGAAATTGACCTGATAGTTAAACCAGGAAACAACAATCAAAGGTAAGTAACCCGATCAATTGATTTGGAATAATTTAACCTGAAGCAATAACAATACATGAGAAAGTTAATTTAACGTCAACAAAATAACAACAATCAAAGTAAATTTAGTTTAAAAAATTAATCAAATGGTGACAAGTCTATGGGATCAAATTGGTTTGAACACATTTTCCCTTATATGTGACAATTAATTTTTCCCTTCCAACAATTTATTCAGTTGACACTTTTTACTAATCACAATGACAATTGTTACTCTCATTATGATTACAATTAATCACTTTTGTATCAATAACAAATTAATTGTGATTACTTGAGATCACAATTAGTGGAAAAAAATGGAAAACAAAACCATACAGTTGATGATCAATCAACAATCAAATGGATTAAAGTTAATGGTCAAATCTAGTGTCCAGTTGAGTAAAATAAATTTAGTTTGTTAACCATTTTCTAGTTGATTGCTGGTTAATTAAATAAGATAATCAAGAATTGTTAATGAGATCTGGCTTTACATAATAGTTAATTTCCTCAACCATAAAACTGAACAAATTTAATCAAAGGTTGTTAATGAAAAACAATTTACATCAATTAACATGGAAACATAATGACCAGTGATGTCCAGTGAAAACCAATTTCAATCAATTTATATTGACCAATACAATTGAACACAAGTAAATTGTAAATTGACCAAATTTAAATTGATCACGATGAACATGATTAAGACTCTTTCTATTTCTTGATTGCCTTGATTAGTATGTGAATAATCAACTGACAATCAAGTAAACCGATTAGATTAGTTTACAACAATTTAGGGAAAATTTTCCTGACAACAACACATGAAAAAATCAACAAGACAATTAAATGTTGACAAAAAAAAATTAACGAGAAAAAAAAACTGGTTAATATGAACAATTAACTTATTATTACTACATTGCTTTTATCCTTGAACTTAATTATGGTTAAAACATAATCATAATCATCATGACAGTTATATTAGTTATTTAATTGTCAACTAATAATTGAAGTTAAAACTTGATTTAAAAATGAAATTATCTCATTACTTTAATTCCAGTAGATTAAATTTGCTGTAACAGTAAATCAGTTTAACCGAAACTAAATTAACCTCAAAACTTTTTGTTAATCAACATTGAAAATTCAATACAATAGATGCTGGAGATGGTTAATTATCAGTGATTAACCTTTTGATTTAAAAGTCTAATTTCAAAGTCAATAAAGGTTATGATGAGATTAAGTATTTCCATTGTAATCTTAATCCTTAATCTTTTCAATTCATCTAAAGCCTTTAGATAATGATGGAAACTGAAGGCCCTTAAATTGTTATCATTGACAATTTATTGATATTTAAAATGATTTTCATTCAGCCTGTCACCAGAATTGAAACTCAATCCACTTTGAGACTTGATTTTCAAGCTTAAAGTGACATGATAAGATCGCAGAAATGATGATAAAGGTTGACTGGGTAGAAGAGAACAGAAGATGACAGAGATGAGAGAGAGAGAGAGAAAATGGAAAATGCTGAGATAGAGAAAAAGATTAGCATAAGGATTAGGCTTGAAAAGATGAGCCTATTAAATTTACGAATAAAGATTTAGATTAAAATAGATTCTGGTCTCTGAATATCAAGATGATTTTGGAAAATGTTGTCACCGTTTTAACATTTGATTCTGGAAATGATTCAAGAAACTGGAAGAAACTATGAAAAGATGTCGAATGGAATAAGAAAAAAAATGATCTCTAAAAATAAGTTATCATTTCAATTCCATTTCTCAGCTTAATCATAGATTCCACCTTGATCTCTGATCTATGAGCAAATCGTCATAACCCCATGAAAACCCAAAGCATTTGCCCTAGAAATTAATGCCAATAATGATTACATAAAGTAGTAACATTATCAACAGTAATTTACCACTCATTGCCTCAGGGTGAATTCAGTCAGTTTTCATCATCTTCATGACTCTCTCTCTCTCTCTCTCTCTCTCTCTCTCTCTCTCTCTCTCTCTCTTGACTTTGAGAATCAGTATTTTCTGTTATCTGATCATGACTATAACTGTTTTCATAACAATAACTATCAACTGTTCAGTAAGAAAAAAAGTAAAAATAAATGTTCACAATTTATTAACAACAATATATCACAACAATTTAATCTCATGAGATTAAAGTATAGTTTATTAATGATTATAAACAAGGAATTACAATTAACAAGGAAACAACAATGTTGACATATTAATTATAATTAGTAAATCAGCCTTAGAAAATACAATTCACTGTTTACCAACAATTAGCTGATCAAATGAAAAGCAAAATGACTACAATCAATTTTAATCATTCATATTGATGTTTATTTGTGGATTATTTTTCTTGAGTATCAGCTGAAATTAATCATCATCATTAATATAAAACAGTAACAAGAATAACCTTTTAGGTTGATGATGATTATATTTATCATCATCAACATTATCATCTGATGGACACGATAATGTGATAATAAAAGGACTGGATGCTTGACTTAAACAGTTACAGTTCTGATCCATTTATCATGATATTCTGAGAAATGATTAGAATCATTGATGATAAAATGATCAGCACGTTGGAATTGATCTGAACAATTTATGTAAATTGTTGGACAAACTTACGATTAACCATTTAATTGTTATTCTGTTGACTTTTTTTTCACATTAGATATTGGTGATTATTATCACAACCATAATAAAGGTCAACTTATCAATGATATTATCATAAATTACTAACCAATGTGATATTTATTTCATGATATTCATGAATATGGTAATTGGAAAATGAGAATTCACCTTTACCATGAATTCATTTTGACGATGAATTTTCGGTCAATTGAAACAAAATGATCATTATTTTTACTATTTAATTGGTTCACTTAATCTTGATTGATAGTAATAGTTTTGCTTGTAATCAGCTACTGTTTTTTGGGTTGATAACAATTCACTTGATCAGTTAATTGTGATGATAACAATAACAACAACAATTATGATTAGATATTAATAGACATCGGAAGATATTATCATTTGAACCATTGATTATAAGCTACGCTGTAAGTACAAGTTGGTAATATCAACATGATCCTCCCACTGCTATTGATGGTTTAGTGTCACTTAATTGTTAATCTAATGTCAAACTTTACACAATCAGAATGTTGATTTACCAGGAAAAGTTCAGGTCATCAAATTTTCCTTTGTCATTCTAGTGATTTAATCAGGTTCGTCATGATGCTCATGATAGAGAATTGAAAATTCAATATCAAAATTCAATATAAGGTCAAAACCATCGAGTCTTTTTTTCACTGAATTATAACCTTAAGCTTTTCAGGTTTTACCTTTTGTCAAAATTTTCTTCTCATCTTGATGATGATCATCATCTGAATCACCATGACACTGAATTTCCTATTCTACTCAAGTCTAGAGGAGAAAATTTTTTGCTCTCTTTATTTTGTTCCATCGAAAAAAAAAGATCAGAATAACTTATATTGTAATAGAACTTTTTTCCGTTTCCATCTTCATCATTTTCTATCACCAGAATTATCATTATCATATTTGGAGTCTAGTACTTGTTTCCTCATCACATTCCATGATCTAATTTTTTCTTTCACCATGAAAAAAGTTGAAAAGAAACCGAACAGAAAACAGAGTTCATGATGATTTTCATCATGAAAATGAACATAATTCACGATAAAGTTGAGTAAAGGAGAAACTGTTCTAACCAAACTCGAACCTAAGGTCAAGATGAAATAATTGTAACATATAAAAAAAAGATACATTAACAACCATTATTTGTTTTTGTTCATTATTACTCATGATTCATGTTACCAGATAACAAAATTTCATGATAAAAGTGATAATGATTCAAGAAACTTTCATCGGATTCGGTTCAGTTGTTGATAATCAATATTAACTTTCAATTAGCTATATAAATGCATTCAGATTACTTATTAATACATAAGGCTAGAGAAAATCACTTATAAGTAATTTTAATTAGTTGATAACAAATTGAATTTACCCTGAAATTGATATTGAACTTTTCCACAATTCACTTTCTGCTGATTCTCATGATTATATTTATTGTAATAGATAATACAACCTACATGATAGATATTTTTTACATCATTATCATGGAGAAAGTAACAAAAAAAAAGTATAAGGTGAATTTCAGATAAAAAGATGAAGGAAAAAAAAAGAATGATGAAAAATGATGAAAGGCAATGACGATGGAAAAAGTTTCATGTAACTTATCAAATATCATCATGAAATGAATTATTTCCATTGATACCAGAACTTTGGGTGCAAAAAAAAAGCATTAAGAGTTGCTCTCTCTCTTCATCTCACTCAGCATCCTATTATTATCCCAGGCTACTGAATATTTTCAACAGATAATATTGCCTTTTATTACATCACTTTGCTTTTCAATTGTTACCTGATTATCAACTTTTTCATTGCAATAACAATTGCATGGTATTCAGTTGATTCAATATTCAGTAATGTATTCATGATGGTATCACCAAAGGTATTGATAAGTTGACTGAACAAAATTGAAACCTTTCATCATGTATTTTGTAACGTCCCTTTGCTTACTGATTTAATTAATCATGATCATGGCGAATCATGAAATTCAATTGGAATATCTTAATTATAATCTTATCGATTTTCAATTAACTTATCTCATCATTTGATTGTTATACTTTTAATTTATTTTTTTTCCTTCCATCTTATGAATTGTTCATTCAATTTGATTTAATTGGTTCATAGTGTTAATCACAATTAATTTGAATTTATTTCATGTGTCCCCTGATTATCAATAAAACTGTAGACCAATGTGATTACTTGAAATTAGTGTATCACCAATTTAATCAATTAATGGGCTAACTATAAGTTAATATCATGATGAACAAAAACCCAAAAACAATTTAACCTCAGTTCAATTAATCCAGGTAACAAGGTGAACGAAAAAGTTAATTGTCA